GTCCACCACAACTCAGATACTGAGCATAGGTGCTTGTCTGCTGCCTGAAGAGGCAGCAATTCAAGTCAGTGGATTTGGGGAAGCAACATTTGGAGTGCTGTTGAGGGACATAAATGGAATTGAAGTAAATGGTATGGCTGAGGGATATAAATAGAATAGTTCAGTTCCTGTTGCATTTGCCCACATGTTCTTTTGGTGGGAAATTTTGGGATGCATTGAAGAGCATCTTCTTTGGGATGCATCTTCCTCTGCTTATGCCTTCTGGTCTTTGAGCCTTTTTATGTATGGGTAGATGTTCTGAGCTTACTGAAGTTATCAGATGAAGAAAAATACCATTTTGCAGCAGTCAGGCGGTATCAAAGCTACTGCTTGCTTCCATCAGAATGTCATTTTGACACAGGCTTTTGACTTTTAAAGCCCACAGAGGACTTTGACAAGAGTCCATGGATTTGGAGTCTTCACTAACATCAGAATTAAACTTCTCAGCTTCCGAATTTTACGTGGTGCTATCTCATACATGAAAGGTTGAGGATAAAAGTGTGCAATATACAGCTTTGATAGCTTAATCTTTTGCTTTTATTTTGCCTGTACAGTAATGATCTGAGCAACTGTGTGCTTACAGTTAGTGCACACCTATAATGATAGCCTGAGGCACTAGAAATAATTTAGTGACTTAACAATAAAACCTGTTATCAGTGTTTGTCATACTTCAAAGTATTTGTCACTGTGCTTTGTTAAAGCAGTGAAAAATTCTGAGGAATGTATAATGCTTCATAATGCAGGAGACTGGGAAAAGGTAAAGATTAATTTAGAAGGATTTTTGCTGTCATAATAATACAGTCAAGTTAACAGCCTGTCATTTTTCCTTAGTATTTCCTCTTAAAAAACTAATTCTTTGAACAATGTATTAATTTAATAAGTTGTGTTCTTTAGTATTTCTGTAATTAAATTCCTGTAGGGAGTATTATCACTTGCTGAATTAATTGTTTTGATATATGTTGTGAAACAGCAGCAATTAATATTTTTTTTTAATATCTTTGACAGATTATCAGAAAAGATACATGGTCTGCAGCTAAAAAGATACATGGTCTGCAGCTAAAAAAGGGAATCCTTTCAGCAGGCTAACAAAAAACTTATTGAAGAATCTCCTGTCATTTCTAAGACATTTCTAAGGATAAGCAATATCCTAAATTAATTTTAATTAGCGTAAGAAGAGTAAATATTTTGTCGTTGTTTTTCCTTGTGGGTGTGTCACTTGCTTTTCTGTATATAATTTTGTTTTCTTGAACTATTGGTTCAACTTTCATCTTGAAAGAAAGAAAAATCTTGGGTTTGTACCCTTTTTTTTTTTTTTTTTGAGGGATGGGGAGGGAGCAGCTTTGCAAATATGTGTGTGGTGAGGATGAAGATTTTGTGCTTACAGTAAATTACAGCTACAGGAGAATTTAAAACTACCCTGACTGCTTTGGGGTTGTATAACAGTGCCTCATTTTAGTGGTGATGTTAGTTTATACTAAAATCTTACTGTAGATTTCACGTTGAAGAAATAAATCTCCTTAAAGCATTTTTTTTTCCTATAAAGGGATCTTTCTCTTTGTGAAGATATGGGAAAGTGAAATATTTGAAATGACATGCTGTGCCCTGTACTGGTTTGTGCTAAAACTTTGGTCTGTTTCACAAAATGTAGTACACTTACTGAGGGAGCTGAAATTGCCTTGGAGACAACATGAGGAATCTGCTGTGCCACAAAAGAGCTGCCTGCAAAAGCCTGCTTTCTGTGACTGCTGGCTCCAACAATCCCAGGCTGTCGCTTTAGATCTACAAAACTGGACGATTTTAAACCATAGATGCTTCTATTTTAGTATATTTGGGCAGAATGGCTTGCTACAGAAGAAAAGTATGGCAGTCTGCTTTTGACTGCTACATTATTTTCAGGCTGTTGGGGTTTGTGTGCAAGAAAGACAAGTACAACATTTTTTCATCTGTAGCCTTTTTGATATGTTCTCAACGATTGATTACATTTTCCACTTTTATGTATATATCCATTCACAAATGGTAGGGAGAGAGGGAGAAGACTGCTCGAGTTGTAGAAATGGCTAGAGGATTGTATGTCCAATTCTGCTGATCTTAAAATACATTGTGGATGAAATATATTCTAATCTTGCAGCAAAAAGATAGAAAGAAAATTCTTTTCTGAAAGAAAAATCTGAATTTTTCAGAACCAAAAAATGCTGTCCATGGCCAAGTGTCAAATAAGCAGGTATTGCATCACTACCAAGAAGAGTCTAACCTTTTGTTTCCATCCTCCAAAAGGAGTTTGAATCCCTTCAATCATCAGTCCAATTCTCAGCAGAGCTAACAAGGCTGCTCGGGCCATTCAGATGGTCCTAGCTTCACTGATTTTTAGTTTTTAAGAGGGCTGTAACATCTCTGAAGTGGTTTAAAGTATACATAGCTTAAGGTGAAGCCTTAATTAGTGAGGAGGGAAGCTCAGTGCATGAACATTGATGGAAATTTATTCTTTAATTTTTTAAAATAAATGCAGTTATCTGAAATGAGTCATCAAGTCAAAATATAGTGGAGTTTCTGAAAGTTGGAAGACATACAGTTTTTCTATTAAGAAAATAAAATAGTATTTTTGTTAATTTGCAAATGGAGTAACTACATTCAGGGAGGAATGTTGGTTCTTTTAGCAAGATCAGCATGCCATTCCTTTTGGATTTAACTAGTTTTTCTGTGAAATAAAAGATCTAGGAGTATTTTCTAGTTTATAGGAAAATCACACAAGTCTGTAGAAGAATGGTAAAATACTTCGAAGAATAAAATTAAGAACTCTGTTATGTGCCTTTTCTTTCAGTTTTAAAGTCTTTTCAACCTCCTGCCTTTGTGAGTTTGTAAATATTTTGTGAAGCTATTTGCTCTCTTTGTTTACTATTACCATGGAATCACTTCATTGTTTGCTAACTCTTGACAAAATTAATCTCAGTTGCACAAAGCAGACAGTAAATTGAATATATCTGCATATTCAAGAAGAGTATCAAAAATATTGAGGAGCTTCTTTAAATGTTACCTTGGGCTATAATAGTCAAGACTGGAGGCCAAACTTTTATTTTTGCCCACTTTAAATGATGTGAAATAGATTGGTTTTCATAACGAAAGTGTTGGGCAATTGTAATTAACAATATTAACTTGCTAATCAAGACAAGCCTACAACCCTGCTACTGATTATTTGTTCTGGCTGCTGGGCCATGGTTTTGGATCCAGCTGATGTGGTTGCCAGCTGCTTCTGGCAATGTGGAGTGCTGGCACAAAAAGCCACTTGTGCTGTTGCAGAGTGCTGAAGGTTTATGTTTATCTTTGCATACAGTAACTGCCTGCCTAGGAAGAATGTGTACCAATGTATGTAATTTAACTCCCATCAAAATCCTTTTTTTTTAAAGGATTTGGGGAAATACAAGTTTTCAACCTGTGGTGGTTGCAGATTAGTGTGCTTTGTTAAATGTGCTACAATCTCTGCAAGTTGAGCTGGAAGGGCATTTTAAATCACATATGTAGTATTTTTTTTTCTGTCAAACATCAATGAAAATGTTAATGCAGTCTATTATTTTGGCAGAAATATTCAAGGACAGGAAATTGAGTTGGAAAGCAGATAGATTAGTATTTGCTTGAGCAAAGTCCATTTCCTAATTAGGGAGAAATAAGTGAAAAAAAACCCCAAGATCCAGGGGTATCTGGGTCTGAATCCAGGGGTATCTGGACCTGAATGTAGGTAGTATCACTACAGAAGTTTTAACTTTTGAAACCTGTGCAAATTAGCATCTCTTCAGCCACAGCAATTTTTCTCTTTGCTGCTGTTAGCTTTTCCTTTCAGCTCAAGTTGGTGTGCGAATGCAGCATCTAATGCAAAGGATCTAAAGCTGTTCTTTGCATAAATACTTAACAGGCTTGTGAAGTGATGCATGGATTTGGCAATAAGCAACCCAATTGGGAGAAAACAAGAACATAAAAAATTGTGAAGCTAAGGATTAGAGCTGACAGAACAAATTCTTCTTGAATAATTGTTTTACCTTATCACTAAAGCATTTCTGAAAGCCCAAGTTTGATAGCTAAGTAATTTGGCAATTTCTTTCAATGTCAGACCCTGTCAGATTAAAATGATTTCGAGTTTCTAGAAAGTTTCTATACTCCAATTTCGAGTTAGCATTCCATTAGTTTGTACAGACATGATTTCCTTATCTTGAAGAAATAGTCAACAGTAATCAGGACCCAAGTGTGAAGAAATAATCAGGTTTTCAAATGCTAGTATTTGGGCTGGAGCCACAGTCAAAGAGGAGTCCTCTGCTGGTACATACAGTTGTTAGCTGTTAACTCTTGTGCAGGTACACCTTTCTAGCAGAAGGAAACACTAAAAGGCAGAAAATTAAAACATGATTGAAGTAAAGCTACAGCCTGAAATTTAAACTACTTTTAAAATTACTTTTATAATTGTTTAGGATTATTCTAGGGTTTGCTCTTTAGGCATTAATTTGTATTACATGTGAACTTACTTGTCTTGAGTTATATCTTTTGTCTCTCCTTACTTGAAATCAGCCTTATCTGCATATGAAAACTTATAAAATCCTTTGTTATTTAAAACTTGAAAGCAGATACATTCCAAAGGAAGATTTAGAGACTATAGGAGTATTGTATTTTAAGTTTGACATGACAGCAATCAAATGCATTCAATAATCTTTAAAGGTGACTGTAATTTTTTTTTTTTAATGATTTATGAGTTTTAGAATATCTTGCTTTCTGGTTTTTTTTTACTCAGCCTGAGGTTCTACTTTGTCTGTTCATGTCTTACTTTGGTCATGTACTCACTTTTCTACTTTACCTCAAACTTGTCTTTTATAATTCTGTTTGCCTGTTGCCTTATTTCTACCTTTTGATAGCACAGACCTTGTAATGTAGGATATCAAAAGACATTTCTTTAATTCCTTTTTGGTGGCTTTCTCTTTCAGGATAACATTTTGTCACCTGCCTTTCCAAAGCAAATGGCTATATGTGGGCACTGAAAGAGGAAACATTCACATTGTCAATGTGGAATCATTTACTCTCTCAGGCTATGTCATCATGTGGAATAAAGCCATTGAACTGTGAGTTTAACCAATTTTTGTCTGTGGAGGGGAAGGAACAGCAACGTCCCAGATGTTGTTAACATCAGTTGCAGGAATATCATTGTTCTCTAGACAGGCCTCCATGTTCATCTTGCTGCACTACATACGCTGTCAAAGTACATGGTCATGTAGATACTTATATTTTTAAGAATGTCAAGTGCTAATGTTAATATATATTTCTGCCATTTAGCAGTATTTTATCATAGTTCCTGGGATAGACATGGAAATAGACAAAATAGACAATATAAAAGTAGATGTAAAAAAAATCTATGTGTGGGGATAAAACAGAAGAAAAAAATAATATACATTAAAATATGGTGTAGCTGGTACTTGGACAGACATGTCACTTCTACAGTTGGGGATTAAAGACCAAAGTGTAAAGATAATGCATTTTTTTAAGAGGGCTGATATATTCTGAATTGGAAGTGACTTTCTGAAATGCAAATTTAAATAGGTCTATTCTAAGACCACAGCACACTTTATAGCTATTGTCACTGCATCTCCTTTTTTTCAATGTTAAAGTTGTGTGTACAAATACAGTGGTTTGTGGGGGAAAGATGCAGTTGTGTGCTGCTCTTTCTTGTGCTGGTGTTTTTTTCCCCAGTGTATCTTCTTTCCAAAATACATGAAGTCCATCACTTGCCAAAGGGTGTTGAAACAAACACAGCTCTGTATTAGTCCATCTTCTTAAATAGCAAGAAGTCCATGTAAAATGTTAATTCTGTGTTATTGTAACAATGACCATCTTGTGCAGTTTATGAATAATGGCAAAACCTGTATGTCAGTGTAAAAGTAAACATTTTATCCTACAGTGTCAATTCTGTAACAACAGATGTTAAGATAAAATGTTTAAAGTTAATGCTAATAGGCAATGAGTTAGTCTTTCCTTAAGATAGAAACAGACACAGCATTTGTGTGCTTGAAGATAAAAGTAAAAGTAACTCCATTTTGAAATGTCATAACTTGCTTACATAGAGTCTGTATCTACAGAATCTGTTTTAGAAGAAATTGCTTCAAATCATTTTGAGATACCATTTAGGGCAGGGGCATTAATTTTTTTTATGGACATATTTCTTTTTTAGGTCATCCAAATCTCACCCAGGACCTGTTGTCCACATTAGTGACAATCCAATGGATGAAGGAAAGGTAAGATATTTTAAAGGCTTTTCAATACATTATTTTCAAAGCAAGACTCTTTTAAAGTATAGATACCACTGCTATTTAAGAAGGATTAAGTATATGAAGACAACAAAGGTTTTAGCTCTTTGTTGTAAGTAACATAAAGTTACTTCTTTGAAAGTAACATAAAGCCAAGTGCAGACATGAGTGTAGGATACATTACTGGAATGAATCATGTAATTTGAAAACAGAGATAAAGAGGATTAGCTGCAAAACTTTTGGAAATAAAAGCAAAGACTTTTACTTCTGGTGATAAAAATTAACATGTTACAAAAAAAAATCAATCATAACTAGATTGCTTAAAGTGTGATGGAAATTAATTCCACTTTATCATGCTCTTGTGTGTTATTTCACAACTTTAAAATGCTTATTTATGTAGCATATTTATATAGAATACCATCTACTTTGTCTTTAGATTAACTAATCTGAAACAGGGTTTTGTGGAATTTGACATCCAACTCATACTTCCCTACTAGGCCATTTATTATAATCACTGGGTGCTGTTTGCTGATGAAACTGGCCTACAGAAAAGCAAACCAAAACATGTGAGAAAGATCTATGTATTAGACTTGTATTTTCATTGTTATGAGATAGTGTTAACATAATCATCCGTTCATCTTAGAAGTTTTACAGTGCATGTTCTTGAAGCAAGACAGGAGTCCTTGTCCTGTGGCATACCATTTTGCTTACTAGTGTTCTACATATGCTGGAGAAATATTTTTTTTCTACTTTGTGTTTTTCAGTCAGTAGTAGATTAAATTTGAGGGGGAATGATCCCATTGTCTTAGCAGTGGTTTGAAAGCTTTAGCTAGTTATCAGCTTGTATCCTTAACACCTGAGGTTTCAGTCCAGCAGAGAATTTAATTAGTGGAGGTTTTTTCATTGATATGATGCTCTCTGCAATAAGTGCATAACTAATGGGTTTCTCTGTAAAATTAGGTTTGAATCACATTCCAGTCTTACGGACTCTAACATATGAATGCAATGAAGCTGTTCTAATTTCAGGAAATACAAATGATCCATTTATTTTTTATGTATTCCACCCCACTTTAATATTGTCAGTTAAAGTTTAAAAATTACTGGTTTTATTCATCAGGTTGTAAATCAGTGTTTTGAAATCTTGACCTTATACTTTTCTAATTTCTCGTAAGCAAAACATTACTAAAAAAACCCCATGTAGTTGCAAAAATCCCCCAAGTATACACTTTTAAAATTTGTTCATGCTTTTAGCTTTCTAATCACAGTGGTTTTTAAATGTTTTAAGTTAAAATAGAAAAATTATAATATATGGCATATGATAGGCAAGACTATTTTTAATATACATAATGTTAATGGGAAAAATTGAATATTCACTTTTACTAGATCAAACATGTCTAATATTGATAATATTTAATGCTGTATAGCACTGAAAGAGCTGAAATATTTTATTTGTAAGCCTGTAGGAGAACTGTTATTTTTGTACTGAGACAACTGTGCACCTTGAAAATCTTAACATGCTGAAAAGACCAAAAGCATCCAAGCAAAACCTCTAGGTGTGGCACTAGATTGTTACTACTGCCTTATGTTGGACATGGTTTGTTTCTTTTTTTCTGTTAAGGGAAGTAGCTCTTAAAATAGGAGACCAAAACACTTAGATGTTCAACAATGAGTTAGACCAACTATTATGAATGATTTGAGTCTTCACTCCCTGCAGGAAAGGTTTAAACTTGGTTCCTGTAAAAAGATTGGGAAATTATGTAGTTTAGTTTATCTAGCTTTCCTCCTATGAACAAATAATGTTTTTGGGGTTCCTTCAGACAGTTATTTCAATTGTGATTAACTTCTGGAGAAGCCTCATAGTACATAGTTTCTTTATAGACAATGAATTCTTACTGAGAACTTCAGGGGAAATATTGTATTCTTCCAGCAAATTTAATCAGAACAAATCGCAATGAGGAAAACGCACAATAAAGTTGTCCTTTTCAACACCCCTTATTTTCACTCAGGGTGGAATACACATAGCAAGGGTCAGTATAGATCTTTCTACAACTCAAAGTGATTTCCAAGGAAACTTCAGAAGGATACTTTCATTTTTTTTTCTAATGTTGCATGAATGCCCATTATATTTTCTAGAATTTGAGGACAATAAGTACAAAGTAAAAACCTTTCTAATGCTGAGGCCTTTGCCTCTTTAATTTTTGTTTATATAACTACTTGCTGTTACTATATGTACTATTGAGCTGTGTATCCTTTAGGACAAGAAACTCAAGACATTGCAAATAATATCATTTTGATTTTCCTTATAAAGAATTAATGTATCTTCTTAATGCAGCTTCTGATTGGCTTTGAATCTGGGACGGTGGTATTATGGGACCTGAAGTCAAAGAAGGCAGATTACAGATATACACATGATGAGGTAATATTTTTCATCTGCATTACTTACTCTGAGGCTATAATTCACTACTCAAATAGTGACTTTTATTATTTTTTAATCTTCTGCTTATGTCACCAGTGGATCAATAAGTAGGTCTCTTTGAAATTGCAAGTACTAGAAATTTTCTCTAAAAGAGCAGTAGGGCTTGGATAATAAACTTCAGACCAAATAACTTCACTGAGTTTAAATTTGTAAAGTAATGAATGGTGGCATGAATTGGATTTCTTCACTAAGCTTTTAGATCTTATTTCTGTTAATGGTGTAACTTTCACTTGTGTTAAGGGTTTAAATTGAAACAAGATGGTTTAGCAATTTCTGTAATTTGGAATCTCTCACATATTCTGGGAACAGCGAGATAAAAGGGCAGGGGAAGAAGCCACTAAATAAATAGTCTCACTAGAACATTTCTCTAACCATCTTTTCTCTGTAGAATAAGATCATGATCCATGCTCTTTGAAATGAGACTGGGGGAGGTTTAAAAAAACAATGGCATTAGGTGCCATTCATTTCTTGAAAACTTGATTCTTAAGAGAACAGACTGAACAACTGAGATTATGAAAAATGAGTCAGAATAATATACAAGTTGATGTATTTCATTTAAAATAATATAAAATTGGTCTTGATTACATTTTGCTGTCTGTAAAATGGCCTTGTCATTGTTCAGTACCAGCTTTAGGGTGTTTGTGGAGGGAGGGGGGTGGGGTTGTTGAGTTTTTTGGTGGCAGTTCTGGCTCAGTACTTGTGTGTATTCTACCAATCAAGAGTTTGCTTGGAGGAGGAGGCTCTGAAGTAGTCTAAGCCTTAGATGATCAAAAATGTCCATATAAGCCCCAGAGTGTGTTATGCTAAGACCAATTCTTCTCCCTTCTGTTTTCATTGCATGAACCTAATTAATTCCCTTTATCTTTTTTTAAATATAAATTTACTCATGTCTTTATTATCTTTTTCTTCCTAGACCTCTTACTTGTGTTCTTCTCTAACTTTTTTAACCATTCTATCTTGTCTTTGTTTTGTAAAACAGAAACACAGCAGCATAGTATATATGAAGATGTGGGCAGATTGGATTTATCATGTGGAATAATGGTCTTTGGCCTGGCTTTCTTTTTCTCTTGATCTTGATATTGTATTAGCCTTTTGATGCTGTAAGCATAAAGCAGATGCTTTCTTGAAACAACCAACTATAAAACCAGAGACTTGTTCTTCAGGTGTTAGCTGTCAGGTCAAAGTCCTGACATTTAGGCATTATTTTTCATTGACATGGCTGGACAGTAAAAATTAAAGTCTTTCTGCAGTTTTTCACTGAAATCCTGATTTCTGCTTTGAGTGTGGTTTGGTACTGTCAGCAGACTTTACCATCTTAATATTGTTGTTCTAATTTTCCAAGTTGCTTATGAATAAACTGAGCAGATGAGATCCCTGAGGGTCTCTACCATTTAGCTTCATCCATAAAGTAATCAATTAATGCCAGCTGTTTTTATTCCATATTGCTTTACTTCCTTAACCAGTTATTTATTTGTTCAAAGCTATCTAATCTGTTTAGTTTTAGCTTCCTTTGAGATACGTTGTTCAAGGACTTCAAAAATGTTGTAGACAGCTTAAGTGGTGTTTCTATGAACCTCATGCCTGTTACCATTCTTGGAGGTTTGTTTGACTATAATTACCTCTCACAAAAACCATGTTGACTACTCCTGTCTGGTATATTATATTCATCCATACGTCAATTAACCGTGTTCTTTATTAAAATTTTGTTGCAGTTTCTAGAAACTTACCTAAGGTAGACACCATGCTGCTTATTCTGGATTTTTTTAAATTTTATTTTGTGGTTCATTTATTTAAAAATTAACTTAATATCTGTCTCAGAACTTTTTGGAACAATTCTGACTTGAGAGTCTGGAGAGATCAGTGAATAGGTAGGTGTTGTATCTTTGAATTTCTTTAGGATTTAGAAGTGAATACATCTACATGTTCAGTTTGAGTTTTTTTGATTGCAGAAGTAATGAAATATCTCAGGTCAGACCCTTGGTAAAGAAATGTGTTTATCATGACTTGGCAATGGTTGGGAAGGGAAGAGAAAAAAGTGACAGTCTGATAATGTAGTGGTTTCCTTGCTCATCAGGGTGTGCACACAGATGCTCAGAGTGGAGCAGTGCCTTGTCTCAAGAGATCTCCTCTGTCTCTGGTTACTGTGACACAGAGCAAATAAAGTTCTTTTCCATTTTGTTTCTTGCTAACAAGCAGTGCAAATTTGGACATTTCTGTGCAGAGAATCTTTCTGGCTAGTTTCTTGTTGATTTCCTGGTTTCATTGCGATTTTAGAGAACTTCTTTCGCGCACTGACTGAAAGGGCTGTGTTCCATCATGAACATGTGTGCCAACCTACCCTCTAGGGACAGGGAGCATCTAGTGTCACAACATGCTTCACCTCTTCTCTCACTGAGGGTAATGCATGTGACATTCTGCCTCGTAGCAGGAGCAGGATTTTAAGCCTCAGGATTTTTGTGCTTGGTTCTCTGCTTGTTCTTGATGAGAGCTCTTCTGAGTGTTGAGTTGACAACCAGTAAAGAACAGAGCAACTTAGTCCAGTTTTGTCACACTTGCCATCTTAGTGGGTTGCTAGGCTTCCTCAGACATCATGAGCAGGGTGGTCAGGACATTGATACCATAAAGAAAGTTTGCTAGAAACTTTGCCATTGGATTGGTTTCCTCCTCTCTCATCACTTTGTAGTTGATGTTATTCTTAAAGCATTTAACTTGAAGGTCTATGCAGTCTTTCACCATCATTTGATGCAACTTTCTTAACTCAAAACTTCAGATGTGTACAGGGACCCAAATGTCATCCTTTCTTCCTTAGTATAGGAAGATCATAATGAGGGTCAAAATCTCTGTGTGTCCAGAGGTCTGTGCAAAGATACCTTTTATTTCCTGAGGGAAGATATTGAATCCAATTACATGGGTTTGTAGCTTCCTGCTTGGTTTCATTTCAAATTGGCCTGACCTTTAGGAGGTTTTCTTGAAGGAAATTCCCAAGTTTTGGTAGGGCAGTCTCATTTGTTGCCTGAAAGCCAGGTTAGTGTAACACTGTGCACACTTTCTTCCTGTCTGAACACGTGTTCCTTCCCAGCACCCTGGCCCAATAGCTGCAGCACAGGGACACTAGGACACTCACCCCAAGGACAGGAGCAGGTGGGTAGCGTTAACCATGGCTGGGGGACGCAGCTCTAGGTCATGATTAGGTTAGTGCTGATTGCTGGCATGTTCTTCTCTCCAGAACATTCTACTTACACAAAAATTCAGAGAATTTAGCTGTAATTTGTACTTGATCTTTCTATATTATTAATTAAATCCTGAACTTAAAGTAGTGTATATATTTTATTATAACAGTAATACTTTGAATATTTAGAATTACTTAGAATAATGCACAAGTGTAAAATTGTTTTTCAGAACATTCTTTTTCAGAAAATTTGGAGCAAATTATTTGTACATAGTGGAACTGTAGCTGTGAATGAACTTTTGTTTAGAAATTTCTTTGAAACCTTTTATGCAAAACATCCCTTTTGTCTTGGCAGGCTCAATGAAACAGTAAGACTAAAGTCCTTTTGCACCATTCTTAAGCTTTTTATATGCAGACATTGGGGATTTAAGGAAATTAAGCTGTGTATTTGTTATGTGAAATACAGTCTATATTGCAGTCATTTTCCAACCTGTATGTTCATTAAAGAAATAAAACAAATTTCTCAAGTATTGCTTTTGCCCAAAAAAAACCCCAAATCCCTCAACTGTAACTTCTGAAAACTAAAGCTTGTTTTATAATCAAGTCCCTTCTTAGAGTAATATTTTGTTTGTTCTGATGTCGAGTAAGCTTTGACAGCATTAACTATAATGCATTATAGATGACTATTTTTAGACTCAATGTTCTGGTACGTGGTTGAGTGTAAGAGATTATTTTAGAGCATTAAAAATATGTCAAAGTAGCTTGTGGAATTAAGAGGACAGGGGAAAGAGAAACAACCCCGGTATGCGACTTGCCAGAAACCAAACTGTGTCAATGTATTTAATTTCACCAAAACAATCTTCATGTTGTATTGTCATTTAAGTCTCATTAGCTACATTTTTTTGTTTGTTTTTTTCCTTTCACAGCATTTTTCCCTTCCTTAGGTTGTTGACAAGAGAGTTAGCATAGATACTTCCAAGTTTTAAAAAACCTTGTTTGTATATTTCGGTGAGCTGGTAGAAAAGGAGTGACTATCATCATCCATTCATGTTTAAGCAAAAATGCTGCCCATATCCATGGAAATTAAAGGACTGTCATAATAAGGCTGTGAAATCTGGATAAGATATGGTAAATCCATGGAGAAATCCAAGGAATTATGAAAGGACTTATCAATGTCTCTAGTGCTTTCCATATTTGCAGTAGTCTAAATTTGGTGTTAGAAAACTGGATTAAAAAATCCCTCTTGAAAACATGGTAAACTGCTTAAATTAATAATTTCTGTGTTTATATCATTGAAATCCTCCATGCACTGTTCTGGTTTTGGCTGGAATAGGTTTAATTTTCTTTCTAGTACCTGCCAAAGAGCTGTGTGTTTAGATTAACTATGAATAACTTCAATAACACACTGATGTTTTAGTTGTGCTGAGTACTTCTTTTTATTGAAATTATTATACTGTTCTTACTTCAGCCTATGAATTGTACCATTTTTTCTGATTATACTGCGCATTCCACTGGTGAGTGAGCAGCATTGTGGTGCCTGGTTGCTGCCTGGGGTTTAACCATGACAGATGAGAAGAGTGGTCTCAAAATGTTCCAAAGTCATATGTATGTGGCTGAAATAAGCCTGTATAAATTTAAAAGAATGGGATTATTTGTATCAGTATTTAGTGAATTGAAACAGCTGAATTCCCCTGGTGGAAAAATACCATAAAGGCTTTAGTCTTTATTGATGAACTTGACTCTTAAATTGCAAGGATTCATTTAAATTATTCATTTTTGTACCTCTTAAAAGTACCAAGAACTAATAGTTATTTCTAGGGATATTTACAAGCTATTGCGGAAGAAAATAAATTTCATAAAATGTTTTTAAGTATTTAAATAAGCAATAATCGCTTGAAAAGTTAGTGATCTACTTAAGACATTTCTGTGGGAGTCTTGCATATAAATGTTTTCAATTTTGGTCCTCAGACTTTTTTGGGTTTTTTTTGTGATTGCGAAGTCTCCCTCAGTTAACTGCTGCAGTTGCTGCAAAAATATTTCTGTCTTAAAATCAGGTATACTTACCTTCTTTGCAGGCAGCATAGCAGTAATTTTTCCACATGGAATCATCTTTCTGGAACAGATGGTGAATTGATTTTTTGTTTGTGTACAGCCTGTCTCTACATATAAAACTCAGGGATAGTTTCTACAATTTCTAATAAAGTTTAGGTATATGTAGGACAGCAAGGTCAATTGTGTTGTTATTCAAAAATGTAAAATTCCATTCCCCACTTCCCCAGAAAATACATGACTGTCTCAGAAGTTTTGAAACAAACTTCCCTAGAGTCCAGAACAGGTACCTTAAATTTGAATTAAAATGAAGGGAATAGTAGGAATACTTCTAATAAGAAACCTTCAGTGGTAATTAATTAAAGTTTTATCTAGACAATTTGGTTGCTTTTTTGTTAGAGTTCTTTGTGTTTGAGTTCCTGTAAAGATTCTCTGTATTTGGTTTCCATTCATAAATGGAAGGACTCAGAATGAAAGTAAGGTCAAGACTCAGTTTACCTGTGCAGACAACTCGGATTATGGATACAAATGCCTTAAATATAACAACAATCCTCTGTGATACTTGGGTGTGATCTTGTTATAAGGGGTTTTATTCCTGGTCCCATATGACCAAAAAAGATTTGAGACACAATTAAATCTGCACCAGCTGATATAATACTGCTGCATTATGGTACCAAAAAGAAAACAGAAAGTTTTAATCATGATGAGAATTAAGATTAATACAGAGATTTTTATTCTGCATCAGTAAGTTTTGTGTAAAATATTAGAATAAAAATATACTACTCTAGTGGCTCTTTAGTGTCTTAGAAGATTTGTGTAGTTTTGCAGACTCAGTGGATTTTGCTTCATTTTTCTATTTTATGTATTCCTCCGAATTCCAGCACTAGTATTAACTCTGGAAAAAATGTCAAAACTTTTTTGCTCTTGTGTATAGAGACGATTTTTCAGATACTTTTTGTTTTGGCGGTTGAGACTCTTGCTAGTTAACAACTAGTGCTATCAGCTAACTAGTACTACTCAAGGTTATTGTATTCTTTTCATTATAACTGTCTTGACACTAGACCAGCTTGTTGTGTACCTTGAGATAGTGCTGGATCTACTTATGGAGTTGGTTTTTATTTTTCAGGCTTACAAGAATTTGTGAATTGTGTGACAGAAAAGGACATTCCTCTATACAAAAGTTTATCATACCCAGCCCACAGAGTTGTTAGTTGGATTATTTTAAAAAATGTAAAGCATCTATTTCAGCTACATTTTAAAAAATATTTAGCTGCATTACTAAGTATAATGAGTGACTCTAAAACTAGGCAGTAAATAGACGTAAAGCCAAAAGGCTCATTGTTCTTTTTCAGGGGTTTTATTTTTTTACCTCCATGTTCCTTGCAGAAAATGAGAGCAGTCATCCTTCTCCTTTGTGCTCAGGTCTTTTTATCTTCTTAAGCATTAATGCTATTTCAAAAGTAACAAGTTGTTGTATTTCCCTTCTCTTGACATCCTTTTCAAGAAAAGGAAGAAGTGATCATTTCTCAGATTTATTCTTCCTTCCTCTTGTGAAACTTGCTTTCTTACTTCTTCTTAAGACCTATTTCTACATAAATGTGGATCAAACTGTTCCATTTACACTGTGGGCTGCCTACTGTTGTCAAGGTTATACTTCATATGGGAGATAATGTAAAATTATTATTGCTAAGCCTGCTGTAGACATTTATTTTGTCACTGATGAGCTTCTTTAAATGCAACATTCTCTTTACTGAGTCTGCACTCTTAAAATTGTTGATCCCTTGCTTTATTTGGTATAATGTGTATAATCTACAGGGATTCCACCATACATAGGGAAAAATATTAAATTTCACTAAGAAATGCTAAACTTAATCTGTAGTTTACATATATCCAGATGTTATATTAATTTATGTTGGGGAAAATTTTATTGGAGACTAGACTTATGTAGCATCGCCATTTTCCTCTGTCATTTAAGCTCTGGATTCTCCCATTCAGTTTGCTGGAAACTGTCTTGTTTCTCTGCATAACTTCATGAAATATGAAAACCTAATCTGTGTATAGCCAGTTTGAGCAAAGCTTGTTTGGATCTGTCCTGAGATGTGCTCTTCACCCAGTAACTACTGCTTCAGCTGTCATTGCTGGTTAAAGTTCTCTACTGCTCATACACCCAGTTTTCCTCACAGAGGAAATCCCAAGGTCCCTGTGGAGCTGTTGTGAGTGTAAGCCCTTCTTACAGACAGAAGCACAACTGAAGGTATCCACTGAGGATATTGTAAAGTCCATCAGTTCTCACTTATTCAGCACCTGCTTTTCTAGTTTACCTAGAGTAATGTCTTCATCATAAAATCTAGATTTTCAGTAATACCAAGGTTCGATATTTCTTGCAGTTAATAGTTCCTTTTGCACCTTCTGGGTAGTAGAGAAATACTTTAAGGTTTCATTATTTACTTTCATGCTATAATTAAAATTCCTTTGAACATCACCTAATGGTTCCATCATGTTTCCATGTACTAACAGAGATGCTGGAAGCAGAAATGGCACCAATCCTTTCTTGCTAGTTAATATTTCTGCTTTATTTGTATTCTTTGCATCATCGTTTACTTTCCTCTTGCCTGAAGGCAGCAAATAGATTTTATTTATTTAGCTGTTTCCTGTAGCTTTTATGTAGCATGGTGTAATCGTTCCATTCCTAATTTTAGGAATCCAGAGATGATTTTGTACTTATGGAAGGATTTACAAATAGATTCCTGTGCTTTCCTGCACCTCAAAGCTGCCATTGCAATATTACAGCATCCAGGCTAATACTTTGCTTTCATCATCATAATTTCAAAAGTTCTTGTTACTTCAATTCTTGTTTTATGGAAGTTTTGACCCAATGCTTGCTTCTTGTGCACATCCACGTAAGCATCTCAAAACAATATGTAACACTTGAACTTAATAACCTCATCCCATGTTTTTTGTCTGGACAATGTTTTCCCCAATACTGAAAAATTTTGTTTGGCAAATCTTAAATAAGTGCTTGCAAATATTCTCTTCATGCTACCCTTCATGGAAGAATACTTCAATACTACGCTGAGGAGGGTGGGTTCTCCTCTTGCTCTCCCTAAACAGGTCACTACAGTGAAGATGGTATTTTTGATGGGTGAAGTGTGTCTGAAAGTACTACTTAGGTTAGGAAAACTTGATGTGGGTAAATTAGGACATAATAGGATAGGTATTATTTAATTAGTAATTTTTCTAATTGGCATTTTCTGTTTAATGTCATTGAGGAAGGTGTAAGGATAAAATGATAACAAGATACACAGCTTATGTTGTTCTGCTTTTTCTTGCATAGGCTATCCACTCTGTGGCTTGGCATCATGAAGGAAAACAATTCATTTGTAGTCACTCAGATGGTACCTTGACTATATGGAATGTAAAATCTCCTACCAAACCGTTCCAGACAATCACGCCACATGGTAAGATGAAAATGGATGACAGCTCTTAAAAGACAGAGAACTTGTTTTTAATAGAAATGTGTTTTGCAAAAAACAAGTATTAAAAGTGCACTTGCAATGCAGTAAAAGTCTTTCTCAGTCATATCAGTTTCTCATAGATTTCACTTGAAAAAGAAAAATCTTTATGAAATAAGAATCCAAATCAGTGCAGCTTTCTCTAAATCTCTAAACTTTAAGCTTGTATTTCACACAATGGCACTGATCTCAGAGTTAACTAATGCATATTTTGCAGGACTTGCTTTTTGCTAATATTACAATCCCATAGCTTGTTTAAAATTCATATAAGCCAGTACCTGTTTTATGTATGAATGTGTAGATTACCATATAAGTTTTTGGAAGGGTCTATAACAGAACAAGAATAGCATCTGCTAAGATGTTTCCACTTCTGCATTAATGTTAATCTAGGAAATTAACATTATATGTTGTTCTTCTGTGAAATATACTGCTGCTCTTCAAGTAAGATGTACACAAATGCCAGGCTTACATGCGGTGCATGTCTCTATTTCATGTCTTAGCAACTTATTTACTTGAGATTTTTAAGTGTGGCTGTATCAGCGAGGATAATTGCACAGCTGAGAGAGAGTGGGCTTTTCATGCTCAATTGAAGTCTTAGCCTTAAGGATAATACTCAGGATAAACCTCACTTTAATTGTAAGCTGACCAATTTTAATTGCAAAAGGGTAGACACAACATAGATTTTATATCTCCTAGGGCTACTTAAAATAGCACTTTAGGGGAGGATTATATGTTTGAAAACAAATTTTCTACAGCAGTCAGGTTTAGAGTTGCTCTTTTTCCTAAACTTTCAAAGTTGGTGTGTTGAGAACTTTAAGAAATTTTTAATTATATTATTCCAAGGCATACTCTGTAACTGTCAAAGTTGTTGAATATATGTTGTGTGAATTTTATACTTCTCAAGCTGCACAGTGAATTTCATTACTTGCCATAATGTTACGGAACTGCAAGATTAATACCGGAAAATAATTTACTTTAGGAAAGCAGCTGAAGGATGGAAAGAAGCCAGAACCCTGCAAACCTATCCTTAAGGTGGAATATAAAACAACTAGAGCTGGGTAAGACTTGTTTTGTATGCAAAATGAGCATATGTAACAGTGCAACACTCTGGGAATGGACTTTGTTTCCCAGTTGTTGGGGTGCATATTCTAATGGTATAGCTTTGTTTTAGCTTTAATAAATCAGATGTTGATGAATAAAATAGAAAAATTTGTGTGAATTAATTACTGTATACAAGCCAACGATACTGCTGATGCGTTATTTACATTTTCTTTCATGCTACTAAAACTTGTATGTGTTTTTGCTCAATTTTTGAGAGTTCTGAAGAAAAAAAGACTGATAAAGCAAAGAAGACACCAAAACACAGACATGTTAAATTGAACTTTGACAAATAGTATCCCAAATTGAATATTCTTAATTTTGAATACATGTTCCTCCCCCCTAAAATGTTATTAACAGAAGTTTTTCTAGAAGAATGCAGTAATTTATGCAGTGAAGTATGCCTAATTATGCACATTGAGAATGTAACAAAGCAGTAATTGTAACAAGAGGCTCAGATGGAATTACAGGATCTGTAGAGTAGCATGTTTTGTTACCCAGACTGCAGCTAGGGCGGATGGATTTCCTGAATGTGGAATTTTTTATTTGTGGTTATAAAGTGTTTGAGTAAAAAGTGCAATATGAAGATAAAATATCCATGGAAGTCTGTTCAGCTATTTGCAAAAGGTGATTTTTTGTTTGTTTGTTTTATATTTGGGGTGTTTGTATACTGTTTTTATTTGCTTTTCAGGCATTCAAATCTGTAGAAGATGGTTAATTAAATGATACAATACAGTATTGTGTTTATATACTCATAATATCACTGGCTTTAGGTGTTAGTATTTTCTGCTAAAAATGAGGTAAATAGAAACTTAAAACTCTCTGCCTCCCAGTTTTATAAAAATCTATCATCATCTGGAAAGCCATATTTTACTTGGAAAAGTCTACATCTATCTGCATGATCTTTTCTCAACTGAAATATCAAAAGCTGATTTAAAGGGAGATAATCAAAAAATCTCAGCTTCAGCAAGTCACAATTTCTGCAATCAAAAGCCTTCATTTATTATGAATAATGATTCTGAAGGAGACTATTAGTTTGGAGCTTGTTCTGTGACATAGTATTACAATGTGAAAACTACTTGACTTTTGACATAATTTAAGGAGGAATTTATTCTAGTATAATTTCTAATAATTGGTGGTTTGGGGAAGCTACTTTTTCCTGGTTTGGCTTTTTTTTTTTTTTTTTTTTTCTGTTGTGCCTCTCACTTTCTGGCATTTATCCAAACTGAATGTTTTAATATGTTTCAATTTACTCTTCTCTCTAATGTTTCCTATCTTCAGTGTACTATTAAATCTACAATAATTGATAACCCTTCCTGAATATTAAGTAAGACAGGGGAAAAAAAAAAAATCTGCAACAAGCAAAACCACACCAGTCTGCACTGTGGTAGGAAAGCAGTGCCCTGGAAATCTCCTTCCATTTACTGCTATGTGTACTTCAGTTTATACTTAAATTTTCAGTTTCACTTCTAATCTTACAAGAATTTTAAGGCAAGACAGAACTACCTTTCAGGACCTAAATTTTTTGATAGATTTTTTATTTATCATTTGGAATTGTTTAATATGAGAATGATTTTAACTTTTATCTAAAGTGCTGTCATTTCTTATTCATGGTTTAATTTCTGTAGCATAGAGGAGAATCATTTCTGGACAGGACAAAATTTTTCAAGCTACCGGAGCAATGAAAGAAACATATGAAATAAACTTTTTTTTATGACAGTACACTGTAGCTGTTCTTAAAAAACAAATTATAAAAAACCAGAAGAAAACAAAACAAAGCAAAAAAGCTTAGATTTAAGAGATACTATATAATACTTATTTAAGTTATATTCCAAATCTTTGTTAGGAGAAAATGTTCCCTATTTCCATGCTCTATTTTGAACATCTTTCTGTCATGCCTTTTTTGTTTCTCCCTTATCTAAGTAGAGTGCTCAAAGATCTCGATCTGTTTCAGTATCTCCTCCATTAGAAAACATTTCATTTATATGATCTGAGCTGTATTTTTTTTTACTGCTCCTAATTCTAGTAAGCTGGTTTTGGGGAAAAGTGGTTCAGAAGCATGCAAAAGGAAGGACCATAACCTATGGCAACGTATATTAAGGGGTACAGACACTACTCTTTTTACTGTTGCAGCTCTTTTTAATTCCTTCTCATTTTTTTTTTCCTTACATTTTGTTTTCCATGTTGTAAAACTGGGGTCAGGACAAAAAGGGGACATGAGGCGTTTTATGGGCTGCCTATTTATTTGCTAACTTTGTGGGGTTTCTGTTGCTTTTTGTTTGGTTGGTTTGTTTTTTAAGTTTACTGCAAATAATGCAAAAAGTGAAGTGTCCAGAGCCAAAGTAACTTACCCTACAACAAGAGTATGTCTGTAGCTTTATTCCTGGGAGAAAGGTTACTCTGATGAATAAGGGGTGAAAAAGGTACATTCTTTGTATATTCCTTGTGCAAAGTGGCACAATTTTACAATCTCAGAGCATAATGTCACTGTACTGCAGCCACTCTCCATCTGAAATACTTCACCCTTTTCAGAAGCACTGAATTTCAAAGGTAGCTTACCTTTTGAGCTTTCTGAACTGGTTCCCATATTGCTTTTTCCATGTGTAATATTGCATGTGTACTTTTTCTGCCTGAAGTGGATCTAGAGACACTCTCAAGCTTCCTTGTGCCACTCCCTCCCCCTCCAGATTCAGTCCTTCCTGACACCACTTTCCATGTGTGCAGGCTCAGTGCCCTACAGTAATTACTCTAGTTGATATTAGCATTGTGGTAAAATTGTCTGTGTCTGGTAGAAATTAGAGCTCAAAGTCTCTTTATAAAACATAATTCAGAAGGGTTTTGTCTTGGTAGCTGATGCAGCTGTCACTGACTGAGTCATCTTAGCGGGATGGTTGTGTGTAATTGGGATCCTGAGGTTACATTAGTGATGATGCCTCCCACCAAGGAAAAGTTGTTAATCTGTTCTTTTGGTTTGAATAGTGCTGTTTTCTTGTGTCAGCTTACTGGTTTAAAACCACACTTCCCAAAATAAATTCATAGTTTTATCTTCACTACTACTTCAGGACTTCAAGTATTAAGGTAAACTAACTCTTGAAGTCTTTTCCATCTTCATACTAGGATTAACTTCTCCACAGATTTACTCAGGGTTTGAAGAGTAAGCCAGATGGTATCAATGACCTGATTTCTCTATATACCATTCTCTCACACATCTGCATTGTCAGAAGCTGGCTCATATTTGATAGTTTACTTCTAAAATGAAACAGAAACATCCTCCTGGTTTGTGAGCTACTCAGCTTTCAATTGCATTGTTTTCATACATTGCAAGGCCTAATCCTGTGTTTTCTGAAAATTCTGAAATGATCTGTTGCCCCCTTTTATAGTCAATTTCTTATAGTGTTCTCCAAGTGATTCTGCAGAGTTCACTGATGAGGAAATTCATGTAAGGAGATTACTTGCAAACCTGCTGAAGCTGAACTGTTTCAAAGAATCTCTGTATGAGCAGCTGCTATAAATTGCTATTAAAAAATGCTCTAAAGCAATTCTCTAAGATCTGAACCCTGAGTTTTTTTTTGAATGTCTACCATTGTTTTAGGTAGGTAAAATGTAATTCCCAAAGTTGAATCAGTCTCATCTGTTATATAAAGTACAAATCTTCTAAATTTTAATTTTAAATTATGTATTTCTGATTGATGTGCACTAATCTTTTAATATGTATCACAGCTGAAGGGCAACACTTTAATTAGAAAATGCAGTTTGTGTTCATGGTAAATCCATGGTTTCATGAAAACATGAAAAATTTATATGCAAACTTTTAGTGGTCTTTCTGACTGATTCAAGTCAGTTTTAATCTTTGATTCATTTGTGGAAAATCTGTGTGACAGATCAGTGTTGCTCTATTCTTAGCTCTTCCATTCCTTGCATCTAAAGGATACTGTCTCTGGCAAGCCTGCCCAAAGCAGTTGGATTACCTTGAAAAATAAAACCTGGAGAAGCTGACATACAATTGTCACTGTGATGTATGAAAATTAAAAATTGAAATTTGTTATTTTGTTACTGTAAATGTGCAAATCTGATAATTTCTATAAATTGTCCTAGCAGCATTGTTTAAAAAACCTGATGATTTCTATACTGCAGTACATCATTCCAACACAATGAGACCTCACCAGTATTTTTCTCTTCACTGACATCCTGAAAAATCCCAGACTAAGTTCAAGTGTATAACTTTCTTGAAATTTCTTCATGGACCTGACCATAAAAGTTTGTGTCAAGTTTCAATATGAAGAGCTGAGATTAAATGAAGAAAACTTGATCCTCTTCTGGAGATATGTTCTGGGCTACTGTTGGAGGCAGGATAATGAACTTGGTGGACCCATGGTCTGATTTGTGGCCACTCCTTTGAGGTTCTTCCTCAGCCAGCAGTGCTCCTTGGTCCTATCAAATCTTTGGTCATTCTGGAAGATCAAGCAGATTGTGGAATATTTGTAAAAGCTGGAGGCTTATCTCAGTCTGCTGTGCCTTCAGTGCTACAAACACAAAGTACGCCTCAGCCCATTCTTAAACTCATGAACTGCAGCATGTGCATAAACCAAACTCTTAATATAGAGTTTTCAAGAATTCTGATGTATCTAGTCTACTTTGTGCTTCAAATGCCAACTATCCAACTTTAGACAGTATGAAAAAGATGGTATTATAAGAAAGGATTTAAAAAAAATATTTCCTCTCTTTTTACAATATATCAGGATGGGGTTTTTTTCTGTAGGAATTTTCTTCAGATACTGATATACTAGCTATTTCCAAGGAATATGCAAATGAAGGGTAGAACTGCTACTGAAAGTGAGCATAAAAGTAGATCAGAGGCAACTGATAGATATGCAAAGTGCCTATTTTTCCTTCAGAAATATAATGTGAAATTTCAGGCAATAGTCAGTAATGAGTAACATTTATATTTTGAGCTGTATGCTTGGAGTCAGCCTACTCTTGAAAAAGGATTTTGTCCTATTTCAAAGTAAGCGATATTAAAATGAGTGATTCTTGACAATCAGGAAATAAGAAAATACCTGGTAAAATGAACATATCTACTTCATCTTGTTTTTCAATAAATTAAATAGTAAACTGTACATTATGTGCATATTGGAAATATGTGGATGTATTTAAAAGTATGTTTCTGCAAAGGCTTTTAAAAATGTTTCAAGGGAAGCTTCCAAACTCTTCTCAAAACTAGAAGAAAAGTCTCTTCTTTGCTCTACTCAGCTATTTGATTTTGCAGTAAGAATAATGTATGACAAAGTAGTTTCTTGAATTTTGTGCGTGGTGATAGGGGGAAATATGGATAAAACATCTAAAGTAAATGTGTGATGTTACTTAAAAGATGTTATGTCTTTAAAGCTTATCCAGCAGTTGGTTGCATCTCCAAGACAATCATATTACTGTACAGCAAGTAAATGGGACTGTTTCTTCCTGGTTTTGCTGGGGTGTTTTATGTTATGGAAAAATGGAAGTGTTGGCAAATCTGAATCTGCAGTTCAGTAGAATAGAAACAACTCTAAATTAGTACAATTTTTTTTAAATAAAAATATCTCATCTTGCCAAGAAGTTATAAAGATTGGTTAAGTCAACAAAATATTTGGAGGAGATGTCTGACTTAAAAGTTACAGTAAGATTTGAAACACATACCCAAGCTGTATAATTCATGAGAGTATTTTTATTCCATATTTGCTTAATGATATTTCATTGAATTTTATCATAAGGTTGCAAAACCTGTCCTGTCTCTTTTGGCATGTTATCCTGACTTGATCCTAAATGCTTCTGCTTTATTCCAGGGAGCCTTTCATCATTCTCTCAGGCGGGTTGTCATATGACACTGTAGGAAGACGACCCTGTTTAACAGTCATGCATGGGAAAAGTACTGCTGTGCTAGAAATGGATTATTCTATTGTTGATTTTCTAACCCTGTGTGAAACACCATATCCTAATGGTAGGCTCTGTAAAGATTTTTCTCGGTACCTTGACTTCTTATTGCTGGAGTTTTATCCCATCAGAATATTCTTTATTATTGTCTTTCTGTTTTATCTCTGGGGATCAGACTGCAGCAGCAACATCTGTTATCCCTATTGTCTGAAGTGTGATTTACTTGCCAAAACATGAATAGAATAGTTCATTATAAAGCCAGTTTTGTGTCTAGAAAAAAAAGCCAATTACTCATAGCATGTTTTTTTTCTTTTTAATCCCAAAAGCGTGTGCAGGCCAAAAGCATTAAAACCTTAAGCTGTGGTTACCGGAGCAGATGTGTGCATCTCTGGATATCTGGGCACATAAGGCCTTTCCAGTCAGTGCTAAACCATGAGAAACATCTTTGCATTATTTTAAACTTTGTTGGCTTTATTCATTCCAATATTTAGATGAATTTCATCACTAACCTGTAATCTCTCTTCTGAAACAGGGGATTTCTTATCATAGTTTAGGTAGTTATTTCAGATGAATAGTATTATATTCCTGATGATTCCAATGGTTTTAGCTGTCAGCTTCCATCAGAGTATATTAAACTGCTTAGCTTGGAATTTGAGATCTGGCTGAAAGAGGGCAAGTTAAACTTTTGGAAACTTTTTCAAGTTCCTTATTTTACTGTCAAGTCAGCTGTCTTTTGAGCCATTTTGTAAGCAAGTAAAACTTAAACCCCACTGAATATGAGGAAAAGCAGTTTAGGGGTGGAAGGATGTTACTCAGAAATGGCTCTTTCACTCACGTAACCTGCTTATAGAATTTACTTTGCATGCTCCTTTTTCTGTTATTTGAGCTGTTGAGAATATTGAATAAAAGATCATGATTTTTACGAATTTAACTTGGATGATTCAGGAGTCTGCATGTATAAAATATCTTCTAAAAACTATAGTAATCTAAGTGGCTTTCTAATCTCAGCTGGCAGAGTGCAAGCACTGATTCTGTTCTTGAGGCTGTACATGCATGGGCTCCATTTACCAACAGGTAACATTTTGTTGTTGTTTGCAGACTTTCAGGAACCATATGCTGTAGTTGTTCTCCTAGAAAAGGACTTAGTACTGATCGACCTTGCGCAAAATGGGTAAGAATCTTCTCTAGTCTTTTCAGTCACTGGCTGCAGTGATCAGCCTCCTGTTCTACTTTATAGCTTAGTCTAACCTAGTACCTCAGAAAATAAAATTTTGAATATTAAATATAAAATTTCTTCAAATGAACTGATAATCCTGTTGTATCAACTTTTTTCTAATTAATGTATAGTACTATCTGACTTTTTCCAGTCTTGATTAACTGACCAAAATTATTCATAGATCACTTCTGCTTTTTAAGTATCACAATTTATTTTCAAGTTGATTCCTTAGTGTTGTGAGAGGATTTTGAAATTTTGGGGAGCTTGCAGTTTTGAGGAAGGCAGCAGGGAAAAGAACTGATCAGATAACCCAAGTAATTTTGGCTGTTGTCTTCACTTAAATATTTGCTGATCTTATTGCCAAATAAATTACTACCTGCTTTGCTTAAAGTAACTCCATACTGATGCAATAATATCATATGTATAAAATTTGAATGATAACATCTAATCTCAAAAATCATACCTGCCTAAAACATTGAGTCTCTCGTTGCTTTGTCCATGGAGTAGTCCATACACTGTTATTAGTGGTGATTAAAAATTCTAGACTCTACAAATTTCTTTTATGAAAAGTATTGAAATTTGTGTAGGCAGTAACAACTAACTGTTAAGGGATCAGGAGCAGAGAAGCTAGGTAAGATCTTGGTGCTGTTCCTGATTAAAAATCTCCAGTGGTCAGTGGAGGAAAATCCTTGTGAAGAACATCCTTCTAAGGCAAAACAAAAACCTGAAAATATTTGTCCTCACAGTCAATGGTGACACCTTAGATAATGGAAAGTCTATGGAATTTGGAAGAAGATCAAGTTTTGTCCTAATATCTCTGCAGCTATTGAGCAATTTCATTTAGGTTTTCCAAATGTTACATGGCCGTATATCCAAAACTTGTTTCTGATATACCAATAGCATGAAGTGTCAACATTGATACTAAGTTTGAAATGCCTGAAATTTGAAGTTATGTTAAAGCTTATTCTATTTCATACTAAAAGACCTTCAGCAGTTTATGTTTTTACAATGGTCATTGTTATGATTGACTTGCAAACCATTAGGTTTTTGACACCTGAAAAAGAAATAAAATTAATACCAGAAAAATCCACAGGCTTCCTTTTACCTTGTGTTCTCTCAGGGATTTGTCATATTTTGTTAAAGTTAAGCCTCTTCTGCTTAATAATTTTTGAAATATATTTGTAGCTTTCCATATAGCCCTTTATAAAGTTCCTGATGCACAGAATGCTTTCATCTGTTGTTGTTAATTTTTCCTTTAGATGGGTTGAGAAGCTGTGTCTTTTCACCTCTGCCAAAAAAGGGGAGGTAAAAAGTATAGAAAAAAAAGTAAAATAAATAGCATGCATTTCTCTGGAGATAAATGTTCTTTGAACGCAGTTACATTTACCTCTGTTAGTATTATTGACCTTTTTCCTCATTAAGCCTCTGTCACTTTTCAGACAGAGATAGTGGTGGGGAGCATGTGTGTGTATGTTCTTCTAATTGGTAACTGAGTGTTGCTATCTGTAATTGTCAGTGATCTTGGAGTTGCAAATAGATTAAGCAAAATTTGTCCTTGCAAAATGCTGGACAACTTTGTGTTTCAGTACAGTGTGCTAATACAAAGTGAGATGGGAGTCTTCCTGTTTTTATTCCTAGAAGAATAAACTGAAGAGTTAGAAATAAATTCATAGCTCCATGTTACTGCAGCTGAGACTTGGCAGCTTAATTTTTTCTACAGGCCACTAAATTAGTAATCTTTTGAAAATATAAAATGACAGGGAATAGTAGTGTTCTAGAAAAACTCTAAAAACTGTACAAACTTCAGATTCCATCTAGAGTGCTACACTATCTTTATAGTGTACTAGAAGTTGTCTAGTGTATTTGTTCATAGTCTAATTCGATATGCATTTATTTTCCTCTGTACAAAAACATTGCCAGCTTAGTCCTTAGTATTTTACTTGTGTTCTGCACTTAAAAAAAAATAAAATTCCTTAGATTAACAGTTAGCCTTTTTCTTCCTTTAAAGGTATCCTATATTTGAGAATCCCTATCCTTTGACTATACATGAGTCTCCAGTTACCTGTTGTGAATATTTTGCTGATTGTCCTGTGGATCTCATACCTGCACTCTATTCAGTTGGTGCTCGACAGAAACGTCAAGGCTACAGTAAGAAGGTACAACATCTACTACACATGCTTGTATTTTAAAATACTGAGAACCAGAAGCTCTAAATAGCAGGAGTGCCATGACAAGACCAAAGCTACACCTGACTCAGCCTGCCTTTGACAGTGGCTAAGAGCAGGGGAGGATATATGTGGCTAATGTCTGGGGAGGATCTGCAGTAGTTTGCCTTACCTTTGCACTGTATGATATTGTCTTCCTCAGTGTATTTGTTAATCTTCCAGGAATGGCCTATCAGTGGAGGCAACTGGGGTGTGATCACTCAGAGCTATTCAGAGATCATTATTACAGGGTAAGTGATACCATAGTCTACTAATAACTTTCGTAGCTCATTAAGTAGAAGTGTCAATTTTTTGTTTCTCTTTTAAAATATTGTTTTGTATGAGTGATTTGAGTGATTAATGAAATTATGATCACCAGATATGTCCTTGGCATAATCTCCTTGACATGTAACTGAGAAAGTAAAGCAGAATGTGGAAGGGAAGGTAGTAACAAAATGATAGCAGGTGTTTTACAGGCATTATGATTATTATATGTGCTCACTATCAAAGTATCTTGGATCAAAATTACTTTTTATTCTTTGATTTTTGCAAAATAACCTGAGTATTGTTTTAAAGTATGGCAGGTCCATTAAGTAGTTATCGAGTTCAGCTCTCAAAGAGAAGCCAATTTTTTATCTCAAAAAGGACAAGCAAATACTTAAATCTGATCATTTTGAGACTGATCTTTCTAATACTACTGTAAGAAACATAAGTGAAATTTAATTTATAACTGTGCAGTGTATCACTGAAAGTGAGAGCACTACTAAAGTGGTTTTAGAACCACTAACCATTAGCCCTAATCAGGATTACTGCCACCTTGTACTACACATTGCAGAGACTTTGAGACAGTCATGAAAAAATATAGTCATCTGATTTTCAAGCTCAAGGCTAAATAAACAAGGTAGGTGACTCATTAACAGTGGGATACTGTATATTTAGGCATCTTCTTAGAAGTGTTACTCCTAATATAGGGCATCTTTCAAAAAACAGCGCATGGTAAGCGCACGCCTCAGTATTTAAAATGGTAAATGAATACGTCACAATGGGATCATCAGGAAGTTAGCTTTCAAATGTTTTTCTAGTCTCTTCTTTCCAAAGTAATTGGAGCACATGTTGGTAAAATACTGGCTTTTAGTAAATTGTGAAAATCAAGTGTCGCAAAAAAGATTAATGAAAATAGAATGTTAACAGTGTACTTTCCCACAGAGGTCGAGTACTCACACTAATAATTTCATCATCTCATTTTTTTGTATTTCATAGGCATGCTGATGGATCAATCAAGTTTTGGGATGCATCAGCAAGTAAGTGTTTTCAGTAGAGATTTTTCCTGTGCAGTTTTAGATTTTTCCTCTTCAGTTAAAGGGTCAATTAAATCTGATAGTCTACACAGCTCACAGTGGAAAATGCAGCAAGAATTCAAAGTAGAAATGATTGCACAAAGTTAGATGTTTGAATTGCTCTAGTTGGAACTAAGCTTACTCTTGGTACTTAAAGGCTGTTCAAAGCAATCTGGGAATCGTCATCAGTTGTCTTTGAAAACTTGTGGAAAACTGGTAAGCTTCCAAAAGGCTAACGCGTGTGTGGTTGTGGGAGGGAGCAGATGCAATGTATGTGTTTAAAAGCTGGGAGGAGGACTGTTTGGAGCGTTATAGATCTTTAATTTTGGTTTGGAGTGGGAGTGGAACCTGGGAAAGCGGAGGGGGTAAGCCAAACCTGCTTGATTGTGTGCTTAAAAATTCTATTCAGTAGAGTTCTGTCAAAAGGAGATTCTGTTAAAGATAGTTTCTTTCTAAAACAGATAAATAAACCTGTTAAGGGAGAAATTGCACATATCCTCTTTATTGACTCAAAAACTTTTGAGTCTTTCTAATATGACAGTCTTACTGATAAACTAGGGAAATGTGATTCAGATAAAACCAATGAAATATAGAAGAGGAGAAGGGATGCTGTAATTTAGGTTTTCCTAATGTTGTGATTAGTATTTATAGCAGTAATTTGGGCATTGGTAGGATAATGTGCCTGTGAAGTTTGAAATCAGCATGAAGACAATTGAAAGAAAATCTAACACAGAATTAAAATTTCAGTTGAGAAGGGTACAATTAAAGAATTAGCTGTATTGATATATTAGCTATATGTTTAGATCAAAACTGATTTTTCTCTTTTGCTTTGTTCTAGTAACGCTGCAAGTACTCTATAAGCTAAAAACAGCCAAAGTATTTGAAAAATCACGGAATAAAGATGAGAGGCCAAACACAGATATAGTCGATGAAGATCCATATGCTATTCAGATCATCTCATGGTGTGCAGAAAGTAGAATGCTGTGCATAGCTGGGGTTTCTGCACATGTCATTATTTACAGGTTCAGCAAGCAGGAAGTGACGACAGAAGTCATTCCGGTAAAGAGTTATGACCATTTTTTAACTTTGTTTGATTTAGCTATAATAAGACTGTCCTAGCAATTTCTTATTCTTTTTGTCTTTAATTATATTAGTGAAATGGACAAAAATAATTTACTCAAAACAGATGTGTGTTTTTGGAGAAAAAGTAATTAATTATAAAATTAAACAAAAGTAAACATTGCACACCGAGATACTGGTTTTCAGTGACATTTTGAGGTTTTGCAGCCAATAATCATTCTTTGGTCTATCTATGAAAACAAATAGTGGATCAAAACTTGGCTGTATCAAAGGTATCATGAAAACAGAAGTGAATGAGCTATGGAGTTGAAGAATTTTGAAGCTTTTAGGGAACTGATCCCTTGAGTCTTCAAAACTACCATCTCTCCTATCAAAACTTCTGCAGTATGCAGAGCTAGAAGAATAAAAATGTGCCAACACGCCTTGAAATCTGTTAAGAACTTTGCTGTGTCACTGTTTTATTCTGTATAAGATACAATGATGCTTTTGCAAGAGTTATTTCTTGTTAAATTAGAAACACACACATGCAAATTTGTGTATTTGTATGTAGGAACTAAAACTTAACATTTAATTATAAAGTGTTGCCTGTTCTAAGCGTTAATTGCAGTGTAGTTGTTTTTTTTTTCTCTCACCCATTCCTCTAACACACGCACACCCTCCCCTCCCTTTTCTGCTCACTTGTAAGTTGTAGTTTAAGGACCTGAGGTGTGGGGCTTTTTTTGTGTGTTTTTTTATGTACAAGTACATTGCCTTCCTAGGGGATAGTTTTTTCCTAAGTTTTTATTACTCAGCCCAAATCAAGGGAATGTACTGGTACATAAAAAAAAGTATTTTGCAGAAGATAATAAAACAGTTGAAAACTTCCTTTACACTACACTGCAGATAATTCTGATGTTGTTACAGATCATGGAGAAGGAAATCTTAAGTCATGATAAATTTAAAATTCAGCTCTTTAAAATGTATGATCCAGTTCAACACCACATCAAATACTGAACTAAGTCACCATGTGTACATTACATCAGTTTAGCAATTTATAATTTAGCAATCTATGTGGCTTTAGCTCTGTTTTACCACTCTTGAAGTACATAAGCCAAGTCATCTTCATAGCTAAATATGTATGTCAGCAGAATGATAATTAAGTAGGTCCAGTATTTAATTTCTTTCGCTATTAAGAAGCAAACTTTCAAAAACTGGGAAATATGTCAGGCATTCGAGTTCTAGCAGTCTTCAGATATTCAGTCTGCAATAGTATGACTCTGTACTTCTGAAAACTACATGTGTCTTTGTTACACTGTTTATTAAATGGTTATCTTTCAAAAAATGAAAAAGTTCTGGATGTCACTTTTATCTCTACTGCCTTCACTTGCACTTCATTTTTTTCATATTCAGTGTTTTGAAAGGCAGACTTGACTGATATTTTTGTTTCCTTTAATTAACAGATGCTGGAAGTACGTCTCCTATATGAAATAAATGATGTTGAAACTCCAGATGGTGAGCAGGTGCCACCTGTACCAACTCCAGGCACAGGTTCCAATCCCCAATCCATCGTCCCCCAGTCTCATCCATCTACTAGTAGCAGTTCATCTGATGGACTTCGTGATAATGTCCCATGCTTAAAGTAAGTTTATTCTGTTATACTTTCAGTGAGTCTGAAACATTGCAAGAATATGTCAGAGTATATGTACTATCATTACAGGTATGTCATTGCTGGTGAAAATGTTTTCTTTTGTAAAACAAAGTTTTCCAACTATTTGAAATTTGAGCTCTGCTTTAAGAAATAAATGTTGCAATCTTAATTTTTTAAACTTCTTAAGCTGACTTAAAAAAAAAAAATCCTTGCCTTTTAGTTTACCTGATTTTAGAAAAATTTGGCATAGATGTTAGTATAGTTATAGATTATAGTGTCTTAGAGCAAACAGTTTTTAATAGCAGCAGTTCAGTCACTTTGATATCTTATTGTCCTTGAAATGAATAGGTAAGTTGATGTTTTGTGGCTCACCTTAACTTCAGACCAAGTATGTCTGAATATATTTTAGAAGCAAATCAGAAGTGAAAATTCTTACAGATAGCTGGCTGAGTGCGAACTCTTTAGCCTTATATTTCTTTTTTGAAAATCCTGCAAGGGAACAACTTTGTGTTTTGGAAACAGAATTAATTAAATGTCCCTTTGTCATGGATCTGCACTTTGCATGATGCCTAATAGTGCTCTCATTGTAGGTCTTTGACAAATTTTTTGATCTTTTTAAATTGCAAGCCTTTTCTGCAAGCTTCTTTCTGTGAACTTCTACCCATTTGGAGAAATTAGAGTTTAAAAAGTCTATCTTTTTTTACTCTCCTACAAGAGTGCGTTATGTGACTTATGAGCCATGACTTTTTCTAACAGAATGTAAGAAATATGTAATATATATCTAGAGATATGAAGTATATACTTTGCTTTTTGAAGTTTAAGATCCCAACTTGGATCTTAATTCTTTGAGTGTATCCATTTAGAAAACCGTTCTGATAGGGTTGTTTTATTTGGATAGGACTTTTCAAATTGTATTGGTTGTACTGAGTTGGAGAGGTGTATTTCTGAAGGAAATTCATCTAAGTAGAAAAATTGGAAAATTCTAAACTTATGTAAAATATTTTCAAATATTTTTTCAAATATCAATTTCAAATTTCCATTAGTGAGAATAAATGGGTAAAATAAGTGTAATTGGGGAGACAAGAGCTTGTTCTACATAACTTTTTTTTGTGTAAAAAAATACAAGACCTTATCTTTTCTGCTTATTTGTCAGCATGCAAGCAAAGTCTTTACGAGAGTTTCAATTCCCCCGGTCTCAGGTTCATTGCATACAATTGGTCTATCATTACGATAATTTACTTGTTTTCATTTTAGTTTTGCCATATCCTCAGCTTTTTACTTGCATTTATATCAATACATTTTGCTTCTGTTTCCCTTTTCATTGTGCTTATTTCATGTACACCTCTCAACCTTTTCTGTTCTCTAAATCAGAGTTATTTTGGAAACTCTGAAAAAAATATGTAACTCCTTTTTTAGACACTGGCTGAGCACCTATATCTATTACAGGAAATATAGCATAATAGCACTGTTATGCCTTATTCTGAGGTTGGAAAAAATGAAAAATTTGTGATCATTATTCAATTAATTTTCAATTAGGTAGTGAATAAAAGAAATTAATTCCTAATGTCAGTGTGGCTTTTTCTTCTGGTTACTTTTATTTACTTTTGATCATAGTTTTTACAATTTTTCAACATTTTAAAGTCCAGTGTAGTGTAGAATTTAATGAACTCTGATCCCATAAAGAAAAAATTGAGACACTGGGGACGCCATGTTTTGTTTACTTTGCAGAGTCAAAAATTCTCCTCTCAAGCAGTCTCCAGGTTACCAAATTGAGCTTGTTATCCAGCTGGTGTGGGTGAGTGGAGAACCTCCTCAACAGATAACCAGCTTAGCCATCAACTCAGCATATGGCCTGTAAGTGTATTCTACACATCTCTTCCATTATTCCATTACAGTGGTTTAAAACTATCCATTAAAATTGAGTCTCTGTTTGTGTTCACATGAATTGCACAGCAAAATGAGGTATTCACTTTCTTATGCTACTGAGAGAATTCCTTTTGGGTCATGGCAGATACTGATAATGCTAACAGCAGAAGCAAATCAGCATCATTCTTCCTCACCTGGCACTGTACAGCCAAGAGTAAGTGTCACTTAAGGCTCTGTGTCAGATAGGTTGGCAAGGACACTGACAGTGGTCTGTTCTACTCAGCACCATGTACAAGAGAACAATTAATCAATATTACACTCTAAAATGGGAATTTACAAGTAAGTGCAATCTAGGATAATTCCTAAAAAATTAGGAAGTATTAAATGCTGAACTGCAAAAAATATTTGTATGAAGCATTACCAGCATTTAATTAGCACTGTTTTTCCTTTAACTTCTCTTTTTCCAGAGTAGTTTTTGGAAACTGTAATGGTATTGCCATGGTTGATTACCTCCAGAAGACAGTGCTCCTGAATCTAGGCACTATTGAACTGTATGGCTCCAATGATCCCTATCGCAGGGAGCCACGATCTCCCCGAAAAGCTCGGCAGCCATCTGGAGGTGAGTAACCCAAAACATTTTAAGCTCAGAAGAAAGGCATGTCTAGTCTTAGTGCGTATTGTTTGAATACAAATATTCTTCACTGTGATTTTCTTTCTTCTTTATCTGTTGCTAATGTCACTATTGCAGTTTTGTTAACTATTTTTCAGTGTAATGTGTATTCCAAGAAAAAAATGTAAATTTACAATGGATTTATGCAGTTTACAAGAATTTACATAGCATGAGGAAGTATCCTGATATTTCTGATAAAGCTAGTACCCATATTACATGTTTATATAAATCCATTAATGTTTGCAGATAGCCTGAGCGTTTGCTGGGATCTTTTGACTTCCTGTTTTAAAATTTGACTAGAAATGTCACTGATGAGCTAAATCATGTTATGTTCTTAATACTATATGTTATGCTTGAGAAGAAACCTTTGATTGAAATGAACAAAATAGACGTCTACATACAAACTAGTAAAATAAATCTCTTTGAAATAGAAAAAAAGGAGTTTGATTTTAAAATATGCTGAAGAGTGTTCTTTCTCAGCTAAAAAGGAAAGTGACTTTCAATCAAAATGCAAAGCTTTTTGTAACCAAAGGAAAAACTTAGTATTTTAAAATTTTCTTCTTCCTGATGTGTCATGAATATTCCTAAGTTATTTCAGAAAACAGCACAAGACATAATAATAAACTGTTCAAAAAAACCCTTCCTCATGATTGAGTGTTACTTTCTTTAGGAGATCCAAAGTCCTTGTAAGTTCTTCAGGTAATATTTTATTCAAATTGAAATGAATGTTCTAAGACGTATTTTAGTAAATGGATGGTTTGAAAAAGATCCAGTTAACACCAGTCAGCTTATTTCAACTGAGGAATTGGATCTAAAAATCATTGATATAGAGCAGAGCATACACAGTTAGTATCCTGTCAGATAAAATATTTTCTTGTGCGATATAAACTGTGAGAGAAAGAAATAGCTTTACTGTTTGACTATGTTAATTTGTCCTGGGAGTAAAGGGCTTAAATTCTGCCTGATGCATATAGATTATAAACTGCCTTTTGGAGCTTTGAACATCACTTGCCTTTGTTTTCTTAACTGTTGTTATTTTAATCCAATAAATTGGATTCACATAACTCTGTTTCAACTCTGTCTCTAAGATGTTCATTATGAAAGCCCTTTTTGCTCATTAATATAGCTGCTATATGAAGTCGTATTTTTTTCATCTTAACTTCTGATACTAACTATCTGCATGGCAATGGCATTTTAATAACCTGGTTGTACAAGTTACTTGGCTGGCTTTTCTGTCTGAAAAGTACTGTTAGTGTCTCCGTGTTTCCTTTTCTCATTGCTTCGTGAAGGTATGCTGACTGTGGCTTCTTGCATGTGCGGCCTTTCTAACTTATATTCAGAGTCTGTGAAAAAGCTTCGCACCTCTTACATAAGTAAGTCATCTCATGGCATTCAAATATTTTTTGAGCATGTGAACTTGATTTTTTTTGTTTTGTTCACTCACCATAATTATTTTCTTTAGCTCTTTTTAAGTAATTGTTTTACTTCTAGAAACTGATTTCAATCCATCCTGCATCCATTGTGTTTCTCGTTCATGATATCTTTAAAAGACATTTAAAGGAAAAAACAACCATAATAGTCTATGTATTTTGTGTTTTTAAATAAATAAATCTCAAAGTCAAAAGGAGATCCTATCTCAGAATTTTCTGGTGTTTATAGAGCTAAGATATTACTGAAAAATTTAGTGTTATGTTACTAGAAACTTTCCTTGCATGGTTCCCTTTCTGGCAGAAAAAGCTTCAGAAGTCCAGAATTAGAGTATTAGTAGCAATGATAAGAATAAACATTGCAATTATAGAGAGATTCTGCGTCTCAAAGTGAAAAGTTACTTCTACAAAAATGTTGTTTATAGGGATTAAGAGGTGTTTGTGAACAGCCCTGTTCAGTTTCCAAGCAGCTTTGAAGTTCAGGTATCTGTGTGAGGAAGGTAAGCCCTCAGAACCATGAATTACCCGAGAGAGAGACTGACTTATGACATCATTCACAGCATTCAAGAATCTGGAGAATGTACAGCTTATTTTTTAAAAGCACAGCATTGTTCCTTTTCTTAGGATGCCAGTTTTCTTCAGCCCTCAGGCAGAGGTAGGTAATCTCAGCCCTTTTTTTAATGAAGTAGAGCAGATTAAGCTGCTGTAATAATGGAGTTTAAAAAGAAAAACTGCAAAACAAACTTGAAATTGTGGTCCGAGTCATAGTTCTGCCATTTCTTTTCCCCCAACAAGAAAAAAGAAATACATCTCAGATGATAGTCTCAATTGCCAAATACTGCTTTCTCTATAGTCTTTCCTCCTCTAGTGCCATGGCAGAAAGGGAGCTAGGCATAAAAGAAATGCGTCCCCCTTAAGATGGTACAGAACTGAAAGCCAGGATCTGGCACTGATTGATTGCTTTTTTTGAAAAAAAAGATAAAGATGGGTAGAAATCCCAAAACTAGTAAATATTGTAAAGCTGAATTTACTTGGACTATTTTATTTAGGAATAAGTTTTAACAAGTTTTGTATCTGAGATTTAATTTTATAACCCTGTAATTCTCTTTCTGTTTACCATCCTGACAGTATCTGGGTTAACTGGAGCTACAGTTGTTTTAAAACATGAAAATAATTTCTTTAGTTATCATTTAACATTTTTCATTATTTGTAGTTCTTTCAGTGTATATGTTGCCCAGACTTCAATAATTGCTTCAATAATTTTCCACAAATAATGAGTCTGATATATTTAAGTACTACCCTATTATTTATTTATAGGATTGGAACTATATGAGATAGAACACTTTGGGATTTTGCATTCTCTCTTTCTTGGACATTCATTATCTGCATTTAGTGTTTCAAAAAATGCGAGGAGTTTATGCTGCCTTGTTTTTGCTTTGAAATATGTGCCTTCATTGAATCTCTATCTTGAAAACATTTCTGTTTTAATACTTCAAGATAATTTTTGTCTATGAATAAGATATTTTCAAAGGCTATTCAACTAATCTTCAGGGAGTGCTAGTACTTAATGTTTAAATATTCCTAGAAAAAGTGTTTTTCTAGCTAATGTGGTTGGTTTAGAAAATTCCTATTCTTTGAGACAACAACAGTGTATTTAAGGGAAAAAATAACAATACTAGCTTACATATGCATTCAGGCAGCCTGCCACAGAGCAGCATATTCCTATTGTACATTCAACCATGTCCAGAAAAGGCAGGAAGGATTGGTCCTTCCTCATCAAAACCTGGATATTCTGTATGTTTCAGCATAAAATGTCAATTCAATAGATTATCAGTATCTGCCAACATACTTAAGATTTAGTAAATGGTATGTCCTTAATCAAACAATTAAAAATTTACAAAGGCATCTTTTAAAAAAAATCATGGAGTAAGAGTTACATATCTTCTAAAATATGAATGGAAATGCGAGCTTTTTTCCCTTCTCTTGTGTTGCAAGAATATGATGTATTTCTCTGTCATCTTATTTTTTCTACTCAGAAAAGAAATTCAGATTCCCGTCTTAAAGCAGCATCTATTTAGAGACAAGGCTCTCTACACTAGCTAGACTGTAAAATGTCATTTCAGGCTAGCTCTACAGATACAAGCTCCCAGTTGGGATCGTGTTTTGGAATTTATCAGTGATTCGTACCAGGTATACTACTCACATGTTTTGGGTGGCAATTTATAGTTTGTGAAGCATGCAGTATATGTGTTTTGTTAAGGCCTGCCAGACAGTTTCATCAGGTGCTTGTCAAGGTTAAAAACAAAATCAAAGTTTGCCTTCAGAGTCTTATAGTGAGGGGGGAGGGTGTAGAAAATCAACTTTGGCCATGTGCCCAAAGACATGAAATGTGTAAGTAAAAGTTTATGGTGTGATGAAAACTATACAAGATGTAGGCTTACACTGTTAGGTGACCTTTGCTTGATGTACTCTTGACTAAATAAGACAAGAGTCATTAAATCAGTACTGATAAAAAAATGAGACAGGTCATAATTTCATGATGAAACATCAAAACTTATATAGCTGTTATTTTTTCCTGCTTAGCTCCATAAGTTCACAGACAACATTAATCATAACACTTTTTCTGCAAATTACTGTTGGTGAGAGTTACAAGATTTTATGTGGCTTTTTGATTAGTGCAATTTAGTACAACTCTTTAAAAGTTAGGATTCCTTAGTTCTACCAGAGGCAGTTCAGGTTTCTGACAAAAATGAAGCAGTTCTTACAAGCATGTGACTTTTTGAAATTTTTATTTTACATAAAGATGGAAGAAAAAACATGCCTGGAACTCTTCTGGAGTTGCTTGGTCATGTTCTTTTTCCCATCCCCCTTAATGTACTATTTGAATTTTTAACTTAAATGTCATGAGACCAACATCATCTGTGACTGACATCAGCCAAGGCCAAAATTGTATCAGAAAGTTTTATTGTTGGGCTTGGGGTTTTTTTTGGACGCTATTTTTCAGGTTGTTTTTAATTCTTACTTTTACATCATACCAAGTTATCTTTAGTTGTAATTTTTAGCTGCACTGTTTTCAGTCAAGTTGTAGGTTCTTCAAGATATGTCTGCTTAAAGCTTGTGCAAGAAACTGACTGAGACTCATGAAACTTTATATATCAGTTAATTTCAGCTGTAATTCTGTGGAGTTTTTAATGCATTATGGTAATGATGTCTTCAATGACATTATTTAATTTCTTGGTAATTTGGAGAGTTTCCAATTTTCTTGCTTCTCGAGTTTGCAGAGATAAACTAAAAGCTTATTAGAAGGACACTTGTACATATATTGGTGTTATAGAATGATATAGTTTCTATTTCTGAAACAGAAACTCTTGGATCAATTTTCTTTTGTAATTCATAGCAATTTGCATGGATGCTATAAACCTGAAACCAGAGAATTTTTCCAGGAGAGCTGTCTTGCTCCCAGTGCTTCTATCAGGATACCTGGGGTTTTAAGATGCAAGATTAAGTTGCAAGAGATTACGTTGCAAGTTTCTTGAGCTTGGTCACGGGCAGACCCTCCTAGTTCACAAACTTAGATCATTCTTGTTATACTCTGCTCGGTTTAAGTACTAATACAGTCATAGCTAAAATTACTTTTCATCTATTCCTGTTCCTTTTCTCTCCTAAGTAATAGCAGTAATGGCTATGAACATATATCCAAGATTTACATGCCATAATGATTACCATAATGCACACTTATTATTAATTAAGATGTATATTAATCAAATTATAGCCTTGAGAGTTCCTACAAAGAATTCAAGTGTGCAGGTGTCTTCATTCTTGGCTAAAGACTATTGCTGACAATTAATGAATTTTCATAGGAGAACTTGTACAAGAGCTAAGCTCTTCTTTTGAAGGTAAAGAGTTAATCTTTATTGTAAAGGAGGAAATTGTGTTCCTGAACTGCATGTATGAATTTGTTTGGTTTGGCTCCTGAGGGTGCAGCTACTTCTAAGAGCACAGTATGGGTTTATCCTCCCAGCGCAGCTCTCATCTAAAACTTGTATTACTTGTTGTGAAAGGAACTTTAGGATTTTTCAAAAATCTTTTTACACAATCCTGTCTAGTTCAAAACATTTAGCCTCCCATGCCTGTTTAAAACTCTGGTGTAAATATAGTATAGTGTTCATTGATTTACTGACAGATGACTAAATAAATTGCTCTTTTCTTTCTCCTGTGTAGTGGAAAGAGGTAGCTTCCACCTGGAATTTCATTTGACGTTTTAGCATTTAAATTGGTTCCAGGACTGTTAAACATAGGGTTAACAAAGCCTTAAGGTCATTTGACAATTCTAGTCATTGAGTTTTGGTGTTTAAGCTATACATGCTCTTAGGAATCTTAAAAAATACTATCTTGGATAAACGGAACTGTTAATGTAACATACTTTCAATATGTTCCATATTGATATGTTATTTCAGGAGAACCTTTTTCCCTTTAAACTATTAACTTCTGATTAAGTGTTTGGAAATTTATAAAACTTTGATGGAGTAGAGCTGTTGTATTTTTGTTTGTTAACAGATATGTACAGATGCACTGGTGACTGTGTAGTGTGCAGTTGTATAGACAGGCTTTCCATGTGATACCTTTCTTGCCTTAGCCATTACTATCAACACTCAAACTTTTTGAGAATTGGAAATATTTGTGTGCATGCAAAACTCTGTAATTTTAGCAAATATTTCTTATTTATTGCTATTCAGTATTGTTTGCCTTATTCATGCTTGTTTGCCTTAGTATGACATCATGAAATTTCTGTAGGAAAGCTTCATGATATAAACCTGAAGATGCATTACTAACTTTACAATATCAACAAAATGCACTTCTCTTAATTGTGGGCAGTCTTGACAGCAATTTCTTGTCAAAAAATTTCTTGTATACTTTTAATTTATGCAATGGAATAATATTTAGGACCATTTTGAGGCAGCTTCCATCTTTTGCATCTGATTGTGTATGACTAAGTTTTATTGCCTTCACTGGAATGAAAGGAATTTGCTTTCAGATGTTAACATACTGCAGTTATTCAAATTGATCAGATTTGATGATGTAAGAAATTTAGTGAAATTCTTCCATGCAAGGGAGAACACCTATGAATAGCCTAACACCTGAGTTCTCTAAGTGACACCAATAAGGAGTTTTTCTGAAAAATTAACTTGGCAATACAAATTGGCAAATACAAGGCATATCACTGTAACAGTGGAACAGTAGTTTGAAAAAAGGCACTGTAGTTTCACACATCATGTTTGTAATCTTCAAGACCTTCTTTTATATTATTTTCTTTTGCAATTACATTTTTAATATAACTGATTTTTTTTCAAAATGAATTATATTTATGCTTAATATATACCTGCAGCATGTAAATAATTAACTGTTCTGATAAGTCTGTCTAGCAGAAAATATAATGGTTTTCACTGAAATTTATTGGTAGCCTGTATTTTGCAAAGAAAGCTTTAGTAGGAAGAAGTGATTCTACAATTACCGTGGGTAATGTCAAAAAGAGTAGTACATAACAGAAGTTCTATCACAACTGGCTTGTTTGTCTCTAATAAGAAGTGAAGTTCCTGACTTCAGTGGAAGTAAAAATAAAATGGGAACTGTATTTATAATACACTGGTTTTGTGTTTCAGCAGGTCTTTGTGATATAAATGAAGGTACGGTGGTGCCAGAAGACCGCTGCAAGTCACCCACTTCAGGTAATCATGATTTTCCCTGATCTTCAGCTTCTTATTTTCCCAGAATATGGCATCCGTTAAGTTAACACTTACTAGTTAAGTAATTAACTGTTGTCCTCTCACAAACTTTTGGAAGTGTGTCCTCTCACAAACTTTTGGAATTTTGCCGTCTTGCACAACTGCATTTTTAAAACAAGGCTGACTTAAGAGATGCAATAGGGGTATGTTACAAAGATGATTGAAGAGAGAATAAGCTGAAATATTTATGCCTCAGGGAACATACTGCACAATGGAATTCTGAAGCATTGACAAAAGATGCACAAATTCCTGTAATAATTTGTTTGATTGTGTTTCGTATTCCTCAAAAGTGGTATAGATTATTTCTGAGCACGTTTACTTCTGCTTCCTCATAAGTGGCAAATTACTGGTTTTCTGTGGAATCAGAGCTCTTCAGAAACCAGCATCCTGAGAAAGTAGGAGTTCCCTACTTAATACTTCTCCTGCACCCTTTTCAGTTTTCCAGTTGCCACTGCTGCATGTGAATATTTTAAATGGAACCTTCAAGAGTAATTATTTTCATATTGGCTAGTTGAGGCTATAACCATGTAAATACTTAATAATGCATGTCAATGCATAGAGTGAATAGTTTTTGTAGTAGCTAAAAATTGTCACTTATCTTTACTTATTGCTCTGAGGACTCTTAAAGATGTCATTTTGTTTCATTCAAAACTACTCAAGGTTAAAGGACTCAACTGCAGATTTAAATGAGTAGTATGTAGTGTAAAATGCTAATTAAGATGGGATTCTAAAGATCTTTTCTATTGTAGCCTGTATCTTTCAAAGCCAAATTGAAAGCATAACAAACGAAGACATTGTGTTTGTAGCACTAGTAGAAATTTTAACATAAATTTTAATTTCTAATTTGACAATTGTCTTTTGATGTTCATTTTAAATTGTGCAAAACACGCCTCTAGATCAATCAATGTCATTTTCATTTTTGCTAGCTCTTTCTTAGAGTAAATTAGATTTATTTATAATTGAAGCAAAACCTAGATGTGAGTTTTAGTTAAAAGTCTTGCCTGAAGATGTGATTTTATGACAAATCTGTGTTGCTAAGTATTGGCATGATGAAGTCGTCAACTTCAGTATAGTTTATAATGAAAGCTTTTTTTATGGTGTTGAGAATCAAGATCATATTTCCTATTTCATTTTTATATATTGAGACCAATGCCTGTAAACAATTTGCTATACATTGCTGCAGTTGCAGTAAATCCTTTGTCTGTCAGGGTTGAACATAGTTATCAATTCACTATAGTATTTGAACTTGACCCACTTAAAAAGTCTGGGCTAAATCTAGTTTCTGGAACACTGCTATAGAATGTCTGCAATGAACAGCTAATGAATCATAACTTTTAATGACCTTTTTTCCCCCCGCTCCAGAATCACCCAAATGTTAGCCCAAAGAACTCCTCTAATGTGTACCACTTAAAAACTGTGTAGTTTAAATAAGAGGGTTCTTTCATAATTGGGTGTTGAAGTAGAGTAAAACTCAATTCAGCACTTCTGCAACAGTGCAATGAAGGCAACTCCAAAGATGAAAATTAAGGTTTATGGAAAACTCCTAAATTTAACAATTGGTTTCCCCTACCTTCCTCCTGCTTGTTTGAGTTGAGTGTGAGCTGAAGAAGGTTAAAAAAATAGCGAATGGACAAAAGATAGAGGGTGAATGTAACTCCTGCATTCACCTGTAAAATAGAAACTTCTAGTAGCAAGGCTGGACAGTGCCTTGCTTCCCTTGATTCTTTCCTTTGCTCTCAGTGAATGAGATTAAGTTTATGGTAGACTTCACAACTTTCCTTTGAAAAAATCTTGGATGCACCAGTCTGGTGTGGAAATAATTTGTTGATTGTGAAGAAAGAAGAATTGCAATTCCTTAGGTTTGGTTTGAGTTTTATATCTTTTCTGGGCAAAATCTCAAGACTGAAAACCAACTTGAAAGTGGCATTTAGCTTTTAGAGGTAAGAGAGGACCTTTTGGAGAAATTTGCTGCAGAGTATTGGCAAGCTTGAGAAGAAGGGTGGAGGCTAAATTTAAGGAAACTTTTTGCAGTCTAGAGGCTTTCCAGTTAAGAGGAGAACACACAAACAAAATGTTTGCATGCTACTGGCTCTAAGATTAGAGGATGGGATTGGCAATTTAATGTCTTATTGGCATTCATTGTTATGATCCGTAGAAGAGACCAGTCAATGTTTGGACTGAAGTCTGCAATTGCCCAAATCCACCTTTCCATGTCCAAGTGAAGTGGAAGGTGACTTCCATTAGCATTCCTCCAGTGGGCGGTTATATAGATGAGAGGACTGCGAAAGGGACTGCCTGCCTGTGCAAGTTAGGAGAGTGTCCTACAGTTTCAGTAGCACAAACTATAGAAATACTGTGAAAATGCAGGAGGAATAATCTTACCTCCTGCTTTTTATATAGATGTCAAGCAGTAATAGGCTTAGACTCTGGGAGCATTTATCTGACCTAAAAGATGGTACAGCATTTAAACTGTCAGGTTTTGTCTTCAGAAGTGCCAAAATGCTTGTGTTCTATTCTGTTTTTACACTTCTGCAATATAAAATCCAAATAAATTTTAAATTTTTTAGACAAATTGTTTTAATATCCTGGCCATCTTTTAATTTCATGACAATGGTAAGCCTGAAGTTGTGATCTGTTGCTAAGATGAGTTTTTCAGGGTTGGGATACAGAAAACTCCAGGTGGCACTATTGGCTCAGAGTTGTCTGCAGAGTAGTTGAAGAAATGTGGTCCAACAGTAATTTACTGCACTGGAAAAAAAAACCCAAACAGATTTATAAAACTTGTGTTTATTGTTACAGCTGTGTTTTGTGAATCATAACTTAGGCTAATCTCTGTGTCTGGAGCAATGATTAGTAGAGCCATTTAGTTATTCGGTGTAAACATTTGTTCAATGAGGACATTATTTCTAGCAACAAAGTCACTGCAATGTGCAGCGTTGTACCTTGCATTGTAATTTCTGTGGCTAATTCCAGTATGCCAGAATTGTGTCATGCCAAAGTAATTTGTACTTTATAATATCTAATACAGCTGCAGAGAATACCAATATCAATATTTGATATTATCTTTGTATCTTTGTTAAACTCAGATCCTGTATATAATTTTGTATATTACATGTATACATATATTGTATAATATATGTATATCTTAAGTGTATTAATATACATTGATTTTTGTGTCAAAGCTATATCCCCTTCATTCATGTCAAATGTATATCCATTTCATTCTGTCTCCACTTGTAGGTTCTGGTTCACCAAACAATTCTGATGATGAACAAAAAATGAATAATTTTATAGAAAAGGGTACAGTATTTTCTTTTCTTTAGTCTTATTTTTTCTTTAGTTCACCTTTTGATACACTTAGATTGATTTATTTTTTTATTATAATATTATTTACAGTGAAGACCAAAAGCAGAAAGTTTTCCAAGATGGTAACCAATGACATAGGTAGGAACTAGAAAAAAAACTACTCTTTCTAATTCAGTGCCTTACTCTATGCAGCACTAACCCAGCAGCAAAAAAAAAAAAAAAAAAAAGGCAAAATAACAGTCAAATTTCAATGCATTCTGTTATTAATTTTTTCATTCTTTACTCTACTTGGTAATTCTGTGGGCTGCTTCTGTACTAAATACACTGGGCACAATAATCTAAAAAAATCAAGGATATTGGTGATTTAAATTCTCTGATTTTGCAGTTGCACTTCTCTTTATCTGTATGGGTGAAATTCTAATACATAGTAAGAGTTCAGTCTATACAAGTCACAACATGATTCCACTATTTTGTGAAGGTGCACTGGTTTTGGGAACATTTGGCTGATGCCATTTCTTTTTTATATGTTGTATTCATGGCCATATGGTCAGATTTTTTTTTATATGGCTGTGGTCAGGAAAGAGGTACTATCATGGTTTCATTTATTCATTTGGAAGAGGACTGGCTTGTATATTTATAAGTATTCCTCGCTGATGTTCCAGAACTCTCTTTTTTTTGCATCCAACAGTGACACAATACCTTACCAGCTCTAGACTTGTGTCTTAATTTGGCAACAAAATCGCCTTGGGATATGTTGTATGCAGGTAGATTGAACCCTTTCACGTCTGGAATGGAAATAACTCTGCTTCTGACAACTGGCTCATTAAATAAATGAAAGCAAGAGGCTGTATGATTCAGCTTTGGGAAAGGGACTCTTCTTCCTTAACTTTGATATGGTTACTTTGATTGCAGAATCACTTTGCTAATGTTAATTTTGTTTTCATTTAGAAAATTAATATGTCATTGTGGGGTAATTTCATTTTATCTCTTCAGTCAGTTTAGGTTGAAATTATATAGTAAAACTAGTTGCTAAGCTACTATTTAACAGGTTGTGTGGAAGCATAGCTTGAGACAAAGGAGGAAGAGATTTCTTTTCCTGAAGTCTCCCTTTTGTTTTTCTGTTTGGCAATTTAAATTTTATCCTAAAATGTTAATCCCTTTCATCATAATTCAGTATTTGAGGCAAAGAATCATTCAAAATTCAGGGAGACAAACAGGAGTATGACAGAGTAATCCTTGAAATCTGAGGTACAGAATGAGCAAGTACTGTGCAAAGGGCATATTTTTGCTCTATGTTGAGACCTTCTTGCAATGGCATCAGAAATGGCAGGGAAAATTAATTTTGGGGCAGCAAAAGTCTGAATATAAGTCAAGAAAACAAATTACTGTCAATAATACATTATGTGATTACAATTAATCTGTAATTAAAAAATGAATTAGTGCCTTTTACATGAGCATTCAAATGTTCCCCTAAAAAATTTCAGGGTAACTAGAACCTCATGTTCAGGTTGAGAAAAACATGAGAAAAACATGAAAATAAGACACACTGTCTTGTGTAAAACACATGGAAAATTTGACTGACTGTGACCTCTTTTGTTTTTTTCCACTCCTTTTCAAAGAGTTATGTTAAAGCATTAATAAAGTATGCTAATGAGGATTCTATAGAGCCATTCACATCTGTTTCAGCTGGAAGCCTTTCAACTGAAAGTGTCTGGAATGTATTTCACAGCTAAAAAAAGCAAAACATTTATTTATAAGCAATGCATTCTTCAGGATGTAAGTTATACTGTGATTTGTGTAATTTGCACAGTTTATTGGAAGCTTAAAGATAATTATTTATTTTTCATTTTCATAGTTTTGAGTGGGTTGCTGTGCACTGAATGTGGTTGTTTCCCTACCATGTTTTCTATAGCTTATCTGGCATGCTTATTCTAGCTCCTTCTGAACTTAATTCTAAGCTCTTTCATGTAAATAAAGCACCTTTCCTGTGTTAATAGTTGCATGGTTTTGCTTTTCATTGTTTTAAACTAAATTGAAAACCAAATGTGCATGGACAATGAGTTTTGTAAAATACGTCACTGTCATCAACATCACCATGTTGTATGAAACAAATATTTTGCCATCACCTGTGTTCTCAGGGATGAATTAGATGTATTTGATCTATGTGGCATGGTCATAGCTTTCTGCACTGGCACACAGAGCAATCAGTTCAAGTTCTTTCCGTTCCTTGTCAATGTGTAAAACACAACCTCCGAAAAGTGGTGAAAAACAGAATTAAAATAATTTCCATTGGTAACTTCAGTTGCTGTTAATATCACACCTGTGTTTGCTCCATGGGAACAAGAAGCAAGGGAATCCTGCTAGCCAAGTGTGAAGTAATTTCATTTCAGTGGTAGGGCTGCAAGGTGGTACCATCATGCATGCAGTTATAAACATGAAGCCATTGTAAATTTATCACTTTATTGCAGCTGATGTAAAGCATCGTCATTTCTAGAGATTTCTGTAAAACAATATGCAAATGCTTCATGCACCAGCATTTTGATCAGTTGGTCTGGTTTGTTGTCTTCTTCTAAATGCACAACTGTGAATGCTCTTGCAAAGGAATGGATAGTAAATCAAGTTAAAGACCTGTCGTGAATGTGTTGCTTATGGGTCATGTTTCCCTTTTGTTTGCATCAAAGATGAACCTCGAAAAAATCATAGTTAATTGTTTCCTTGGAGATATTCAGATACTTGATTTAACTAAGCATGTCTAGAAATTTTAAAAAGTACTGTGGCCATGACTGAATCCAGCCCATTCGCTTACAAATGTCACATATTTGAAGGTATAAACAATATGCTGTGAAGTAATATGAAGGAATATACTAAATGTAAATGAATTTACAGAAAGAAGAATTGGTAGGAAGGCTGTGTCATTTTTATAGAAAGACATTGGGATCCAACTTCAGTGAGAGCAAAATCTTCAGCTTTTTTACTCATAATTTGGTTAATTAAGTATTTGGCATGAAGAGATACAGATGATTAAATATTACAGCTACAAATTATGTTGGAAGTTAAGATGTAACAACCATTTCTGGAAAAACCTTTAGTAGAGGTGTCTGCAAAGTATGGTAGATTTTAAAACCTTTATAACAGTTCTAGTAGCCTATGTGTCAAACTTCTTAGGAAAATTGGTCTCATTTATTTCCTAAATTTAAAAATTGTTGCAAAGAGTATTAGTAGACAGACTTAAGCAGAGTAGATTTAGTTCCAAACTTTTGTAATCCCTGCTGTTAGTACTGACAGAGGTTTCTCACACTTCTTACATTCTAAGCATATACCTAAATTTTTCAAACATTACTATAATAATTGCCGTTACAGCTGTTTTCATAGAAACAAATTTTAAGATGTTCATAAGTTATTTGCCCTAATGTCAAAGACCATTTCTTTCAATGTGTTTTTAATACTTTGATCTAGTTTTTTGATATATACAAGTGCATGTTTTCTTACAGATTCTTGTACAATGGTTTTATTATTCTCATGTGAATTTTAGAGATTTCAACATTAGTTAATTTATAATGTAACTATTTCACTTTGGGTAGTTGTCAAGTATAGAATAACTAGGGAGCTTTGGTGTCTCTAACAAATTCTAAGCTGCTTGGTTATTTCTCATGTGATGTTATATGAAATAGGCTTCATAAGTTGTTCTCTTAGTTGTCAAAGCTCCAAGACACATGTCTCTTCTATAATCTTGAGAATTTTATTTTAAAATAAAAGGAATGGAGGAAAAGTCATTGTATAGCTTGCAAACTGACGTACTATGGATTTTAAAGTATCAGCTCAGGATAACCCACTGCAAATGAAGTGTAACTGTTGCTTCTAAGCCACAGCTTCCTATTGAGAAGCCTTCTCAGGCTTCAGGTTTTCTTCATTGAATTGAAGGTTGTTCCTGCTATATTGACACATAACATTTTATTGAAAGGCAGTCTTTCATATTTTAACACCTACCTTCCCAAGCCTGACCTGTGAGAAATCTCCAAGAATCCCTGGGTTTGGACCATTCTCTAATATGATACCTAATTATATATATTGACAGAACATGTGTGTGCACCTGCGTATTACTCTAGGTTTTCTAATATAGAGAAATATTAAATGTAAGACTAAACCCAGGCAAAACAGTCACTGTTGCCTTGAGCAGCAATGTGCCAGGATCTCTGTCTGGGCTGTAAATGCTGCAGCAACAAGGGACATACTGAACTCTGATATGGCAGCTACTGCTTGAAGTCAGCCACGTGCAGCAGGAGCAGTCGGCATCACCTCTGCCCTGTTGTACAGCTGGAATGAAAGCCTGACACTGAATGCTCTCTCTGTAGATCTCCATTCTATATCTTCTATTTTTCTGATTTATATCAGAATTTATAATATAAAAATAATTTATAATTATTTTTTTCTGATTTATATCATATTTTGCTTTGTACAAGGGATCTAGCGTGTTGCTGGTTTTCATCTGACAAAAAAACTGAATTTATCAAAAATTGTAAAACTTAAGCCAATGTGAATGCAAGCAGGGTTTTTTTATACTGAGTAATGTTAGTTAAAAAGGGCTTAGCTGGTGAAATATTCCTATTTTCTTAGTGCATGTTTAGGTAGTTTTTTGTTTAAACACAAGATGGCACCAGTGCTGTTGGAATAGGTTCTTATTTCTCATTTACATTTGAATTATTGAGGTTTCTGACACATTAACATATGTTTTGAAATGTTGGGGGGTTTTTGCACAGCACGGTAATTCACAATTTCCAGTAATGATATCCTTTTTAACAATTCTTATATCCTCTTGTCCTATTAATGAGGCATAGTTCAGTGTGTGTTGAAAATTGTCTGACAAATTTGTTTTATCTTACCAGCCTAGTTCACACAGCTGCTCTTTCACTAACGAATAAAAAGCTAAAATTGGATCAGCTCTCAGAATCCAACACATTTGCCAATACTCGCTATTACATGTCATATTATCTGTAACTTTAGAATTATTTTTTTTGCGGTCAGTTTTCTCCCAGTTGTTAAGATTGTGCCAAATGTTTCTATTTGAAAAGCCAAGAGTGACTGTACTAGTCTTAAATTAGTTAAATAGGTTATTTACACATGGTGAAAGCTGTTAAAAGTGAAAAATAGTTATTTTCTGTGTACATACTTGAGGTTTTATTCAGCACCTCAGCTCTTATTATTTAAATGTCTAACAGAGAAAACAAGTGTTATGAGGAATGCCCATCCTGAATTTCATTATTCCAGATGCGATTTCATGATCTCTCCAGAAGCTGATTTAAGTTCAAGTTGACAGCAAAAAGATGGGCTCCTCGTCACTGCTGCTGTTGTGTTCCCTGGTTTTCTGTTCCTATCTCTGAGCTCTGATCTGAAATAGGAGTCGATCTTGTTTGGAAGCAACCCTTGGCAGAAACCTTATTTAGATGAGTTTTGGCCTCACCATTAAGTTAGTATTTGCCAGTGCTAATGCTAGGATGAGGGTACAAAACACACAGTCAGGCTGCCCTTTTCAGTTTCAGCCTGCACTAAAATAGGTGATTAGCATTTCTGCCTAAGAGTAAGTAATTTCAATTTAATTCAAGCATACCTTTAACATTGACACATAAAGGAAATTAGAAGATTATTTCTGGCATCTTGTTCTCAAATTTTTGTGATGTATGACAGGAATAAAACTGTTCAACTATTCAGATAACTAGAATTTGCAATATTGATGAGCATAATTGATGATACAGTGAAGTATTTCACTTTTGGAGGAATAGAACTAACTTTAAGTCACATGCTGTTCTTCAGGGTATGTAGAAATTGGAAAGATTTCTGTTAAAGTGATAATTAGAATGAGGTAACTCCAATTTTAAAAGAGAAAAGCAGCAGGATTCAGGCTGCTTTGAGAGGTATCCATTACAAGGTAGTCCTAGAATTATGAGGAGTATCTACTTTAGGAAAAGAAATATTACCCATGCAAGATCATAAAAATGATACATCAAAGCAGAAGCATGTGGCTGAGAAATAAATTTAGAGTGTAGTCTTGGTTTAGCAGATAAACTATATAAAAATAATTCCTTCTCCAGTAATTACTGAAAGTAAGATGGAAGTGGTATGTATGCCTACTAATTTATTTGTGATGGTTTTTGTAGCAGCATTTGTTTGTATTGTACTGCAGTTTAAATGGACTGCAAGATTTCCAATCCTATAAAAAGAATTTCTAAGTCAGGGATGAGTTGAAGTGCTGTTTTTCACTTGAGCAGTGTTATCAAAATCTTTCTTGTTTTTTGAATGTGTTGCAAGTGTTTGTACACTGCTGATTTTATGATTATTCTCTGTAATGTCTTCATTTGTCTCAGGTTGTGGATTTTCTCTCAGGTGATTAGCTTTTTACACATGTGCATTAATTTTAGTATAATTTCGAGTTCTTTTTTTCTATTTTAAATGTCTCAGGTTTGATCAGAAAGTGGGGCATAAGAAAGGGGGATGGGATCTTAACTTTTTGTAAGAATCAGTGCATATCATTGCAATTCTGGCCTCTCACCTGAGGATTTAAAACTTGAGGTTGAGCTAAATCCAAGTTCATCCAATCCATGAAGTCCTGCCTAAAGCCTGAAGAGAAATCAAGCCCAGCAAAAGTCATAAGATGTTGTATTTAGGGATTTTGCTGTCTTCCATGATTTACTTTGTACCACTTACTTGAGGAAGTGAGGCTCTGCTTTAGTGGAAATCCTTTAAAGTACCTCAATGAATGTAATAATTATGTATTAAATATTGCAAAAGAAGCAAATAAGGATCAGCAAAATGATGTTTATTCTTTTTAAAAAAAAGATATACTTCACTTTTCAGCAAAGATGTCCAGGAAGCTAAGTTTGCCAACTGAGTTAAAGCCTGATTTAGGTAAGTTTATATAGTTGATTTTATTTTTAATAAATCTGAATGTGAGTATGTTTTAAATAAGTGGGCTAAATTATGTAAGCTATCGTGACTTTATGTTGCATTTATGTGAAGTGTAGAAATAAAATTTTAATTCCACTCTTTTTGGGGACTCTCAGGCACAAAATGTCATTGCTGTCATCATAAGGTAAGCCTGCAATTCCTGTATATGGCTTATCACACTTTCATCATAATTTTTAGGTATCTGTCACTCACTTTATCAGTAGTGCTGTGATAGCAAAAAAGCGTGAATAAGCAGAGAGCATTAGGAAAACTGCTGCTGCCTGTTTAGGACCATCTGATACAGTTTAAATTGAAAAATGAAATAACAGGATATGTTGAGGAGCTCTCAACAAATAGTTGGGCATAGTTTTATAAATGTTAATTGTCTTGTGACCACTCTCTCTAAAGTAAAGCAATGTACAGCTGTTTGGATGGATGACCAGTCTGAGAATTTATTTTTTTGAAAATGCACAGTAAATTTTTAAATAAGGATCAGTTCAGTTGTGAGGTCTGTGGTACTAAAAGTCATTGTGTTGCCTAAAACAATGTACAAATGAGATGGTTGGGGGTTTTTTGAATACTTTGACTGCCAGCTGTTAGATCAGATCCAGCTCCTCTAACTTGTTCTCTGAAGATGATGGGGGACAACTGTAGACCTACAGGAATAAATGCAGCTCCCTTCTGCATGCCACAGCTTGCTCCTCTCTCTGCAGCAGAATTTCTACCACCAGCCCAGCAGAAGACAGCCAGGATCAGGTGGGAGCTGTAGCACTGTGTGTTTGCCAGGTGCTGCTGCTGTCAACAAAGGGAGAAGTCCATGGCACTGGGATATTCTCAAACTGAGCTGGACCACCCTGATTTGCAGCTTGCCCCTCTCAGAGAAATATTAAGTTGGAAGCAATTCTTAGAGATTCTTTATCCAAGGATTGGCAAGGATCATTTGGCAGGGATACAGATATTTTGACAAGTTAACCTTTGATCTATTAATGAGCCTCCAATAAAAAAGTTGCTTAGAAATATACCAGGCAAAGTTTCACTGTTGTGTAGTCTAATTAGACAGAGTTCCTGTTATTTAATCCAACTTCCTTGCTTCCATATTAACCTTTTCTTGTCCTTTGCACAATAAACAGGGATAACACATTCTCCCTATTTTTGTTAGTAATTTTTTTATGCTGTTGAAATCTGCCATCATATAATTTTATTTTTACAGATTTTTTTTCTTTACAGAATTCAGTTTCTTCTTCTTTAGGTTATATTATTTAAACCTGGGGTGGCTTTCGTTAATCTCCTCTGGACTTGGAATTTTTCCTCATCTTTCTAAGCTCAGTGTCTGGAACTAGAGCAATTTGACTGTGACTATGCTGGCAGAGAAGAGCTGAAGAATTTGATGACTCTCTTCAATATTTCCACAATATGTTTACTAATGGTTTAGGGATAAATTTGGTGTAGGGTGAATTTCATACTAGACAAACTGGAGCACATTTATACTGAAGTATCAACCAATTGTAATTCTGCTGTTTTACTCACAGTTCTTTGATGGCAGTAATTACTTGGAAGTGTTACTTTTTCCTAATGAAGACTGGTGAAAAGTGAATGCTGAACTTTTTTCAGCACTTTCCAATCTTAAAAGAGTTACAGTGTTTTCTACATCACTTAGTATTTGCTGTTCTTTCTACTGAAATAATGGAAGGGGTTTTTTGTCACATCATTTCTGATAAACTGATAAAATGGTTTGTACCTCTGAATTGCAATAGCCTTTGACTGATTTTGACTTTGCATGCATGTGAATATCTGTGCTTAGAAACCTCATTTTGGTCTGTGTAAAATTATCCTAGGTTTTCAGGTCTGTAAATCACTTTCTTAAGCAGTTACATTTAATTTTGCTTCTTTCTTTTCTTGTGATATAGATTTTGCATAGTGTTCTTCAGTGTTGGCTTGCTTATATTTTTGTCACTTATGTGGCCATGTTTATGGGCTGTAGGAGACAACTGAAATGCCTTTCTCCTAAATTCATTATCCTTATCATTGTCTCTCATTTCTTTCCATGGCTTCTTGAAACCTACTCTTTCATGATCTTGTTCTTTCAAATGAATTTTCTGTCTTTAGATCTTTAACCGGCTCCTCTTCCTCTCTGAACAAATAAAATCTAAACTATGTGTTTCTGTATTTATGCTCCATTTTCTAAAACAGAAGTTATCATGATCGTACCCTTGTCTGCATTATACCATTGCTTTTCAATGTTCTAATCAAGTGATTAAGATGCTACTGCCACTAGGTGCTATTCCTTGCTTTACTTCCTCAAAAGAGCCTCATCTTTCCATCCTTCTGGTGGTGCGTAGTGATTCATCACACTGCTGCTCCTTCCTCTTCATCAAAATCTAATCCATTTACAAGCTTCTGCCTTGACTTCAGGATGAGTAGGATGTACTAAAGTAGTTAAACTTTTAACCCTCTGTTCTCTCTTCTGAATGGATTATCCACTCTCAAAAATGCCCAAGTGACAATTAGTTTCACTGGTTTTCTCCTGTCCATTCCAATGCTTCTGGAATTTGTACACATGCTCTTCAAATCAAACAGCTAGAAGACACAAATGCACATGTAAAGCTATGTTTATTGCAGTTACTGTATGATTGATTATATTCAGACTGATTAATCCATGTTAAAGTTGAAAAAAAACATTAAATTAGTAAATACTCAAGCCTGAAAAAAACAAGCATCATAAGAGGTGGTGGTCATTAGAAGACTTATAAAAACAAATTATTGTTTTCATTGTTTTACATTGGATTTATTGTTTTTAATGTGAAAACTTAGTATGTCAACATCTGATTGAGTTAATTCCTATAAATCTATGTTTTATATTTGACAGCTAAAATTCATCAGGACAATGTTTTTTTTCTATCCTTGTTGGAATGAGGCAATTCCTCAGAAGATTCACTGTTTGTGTTAAGTAGATGTGTGTATTTAGTCAGTTGAAATCGAGTATGTATGCTTTTCAAATGCATGTTAGATATTCTTTGTATGAAGTTTTTCAATAATTTAATGAAACTAACATAGTAGTAGTTCCAAATAGTACATGGTTGAATGTTGTTCTTTAGCTCTTAATCCTGCTTTAAAATGTCAATTGCATCTATACCCTACGCAAAAGATTTTTTTTGAGTTATTTTTTTTAAAAGGCTTAATATAAATTGCATCCAACTTTTGCTGGTGAGGGCTGTCTTGTGCTAAGACTTTGCAATTATGAAATAAGAAAGTACAGCATTAATTTGTGAATGCATAGATGAATTCAGTGTCTGCTGATATATCAGGTATCATCACACCTACAGATAGCATACAGCAACAGTGGAGCAGCACATTTACTTTTGTTAACATAAGAATTCACTTGTTGCTAAACAGTGAGCAAGACATCTGGAAGGGCTTTAGTGCTATTACTGGCACTATGCTACAGCATTCCCAGTGGAAGTCTTCAGCTTTGCGTAGCAGTACCAGATGGCATTTGGTAGCATTTGTTTTTCTCTTACTAAAAGTTTGGGGGTGTGTAAATACCCTGTTAGATCTCCTGCACACAGTTTCCTAAAGTGGAGCAATAATCTGAGTCATTGCAGGTTCCGTGCTATCATGCTGTGCAGATGTGACTGCATTTCCTAAAATAAAATAGTTGTACCTTTCTAAGATTAGTTTACTGTGTTCCATGGGAGACAACATTTTTTCATCTGCTCAATGAAGTAAATTGGCAGAGAGGTTCAATTCAGCTTTTTAAAGGAGTACCACTTGATGACTGTTATTCTCTGGCTCTAGATGACAGAAATATGCCTTCAAATTGTTCATGATAATTACCAAATGGCAACCTCTGCAACAAATATTGGGTGCATTGCTCAAGAAGCAGCTGGAAATTGGGGAATAAGGAGATATGGCTTATGAAGAATAGGGGTACAAAAATCAACAGCATTATAGTTAGTAAACAGTTGATGCTAAAGAACAACAAAAAAAAAAATTCTCTTAATCCCTCCAATTTGCCATTATTTTTAATTAATACTGATTTATTTTCAGATGTCAAAGACAACTCTTTCAGTCGATCCCGGAGTTCTAGTGTAACTAGCATTGATAAAGAGTCACGCGAGGCAATTTCAGCTCTTCATTTTTGTGAGACTTTCACAAGAAAGGCTGATACATCACCTTCCCCATGCCTGTGGGTTGGGACCACGCTGGGTACCGTGCTTGTCATTGTACTGAACTTACCCCCAGGAGGAGAGCAAAGACTTCTTCAGCCAGTAATTGTTTCTCCTAGTGGTATGTACAAAGCAGACAGACTAAAGTATGCTTTGATAAAGTATTGATATCGTTCTTCATATTTTTCAAGAAACTTGGAGTTTGGGGTTTTCTTTTCAATGATTGATTAATTTAAAATATATATTGCATTGATTTAGCTGATAAGTTTAACAAGCTAGACTGGTTACTTCGCTACCAGAGTTTCTCAAATTGGAAAAGTGGAAAGGACAATTTCATAAAAAATATTACTTTAGTGTTTACTTGCTGAGAAAGCATTTGTCACTGTTAAACAGAGATAGCAGAAAACATGAATAGTATCAAATGCTCAGTTTATTACTGTTTTTTAGTTATGAAGTAAGAGTCAATCAGTTTTCCTGCAGCAAAAAAAGGGAGTGCAAACTAAGGCTGTAAATTGAACAACTAGCTTGAAATATTAGTGATAAATGTATTCTTTTGAATTTCTGTGAAAGGTTTTGGATCTTTTTATGCTGATGCACAGCAACTGATTTTGTTGTGATTATGTATTAATGGTTTATTGGATAGACTGTTAGAGATTTGGCTTTCCTGCTACCACTGTTTCATGCAGAACATGCTGCTCTAGTCCATTTTGCTACACAGATGGTATCAAACATAGAAATTACTGTGCCATTTGATTTTAGAAATGATGAGAAGTGGACATCTAGACCATATATAGGATTTGTGCCCATCGAGTGAGAGATTGTCAGCAGTGGTCAGATTTGGTAACATTTGGTCATGAAGGCAATGCTGCAGGCTAGGCAGTGTGTTTCCCCTTTGGATCTGCAGCATAATCCTTAAAAGATATTGCTTTATATTTTGGACTTAGCAAATTTCATTATGTTACTTATGTGTGATAGAATTAAAGTAAAATAAAATTTATTCACTTAAGGTCTGGCCTACAGAGACAGTGATTTGAACGGTAAGGAGGGAAAACTTTTTCATTTTAAGCTAGAGAAGTGGATTCAAGCGTGAACTGCAGAGGAGAAATAAAAAAAACACACGTGCTTGTCTCTAAACCAGTTGAAGGAAAAAGTGGTGCTCACCTTTGACTCATCAGGAGAGAATTGAGTTGCATTTGTGACACTGAACTTAAATACAAATAGATTTCCCTTGAAGTTAATGAAAGAGTATGCACCCACTTTACCCTTGAAAATTGGTTAAACATTTTCCTGCTTACATTTGTTCTTCATTGGTTTTTAGATAAATGCCTAAGGTTTGTGTATGTCTGTTTGGCTAGGGAGGCAAAGTGAAGTTCTTCTTTTCATTCTCCTAGCTTCTTAAAGGAATATTTTGTAGCTTGGAAAGCAATTTAGGAGAACTGTTTTAGAAATGTGCTCAACTACTCTTTCCTAGGAACCATCCTGAGGCTAAAAGGGGCAATCTTGAGAATGGCTTTTTTGGACACCACAGGCTCTTTGGTCCCACCAGCACATGAACCCTGGAGAGAACACTATGAAGATAAAGATGAAAAAGAAAAAGCAAAAAAGCGACGACCTGTCTCAGTGTCCCCTTCTCCCTCTCAGGAAATCAGTGAAAACCAATATGCAGTGATATGTTCAGAAAAGCAAGCAAAAGTTATCTCACTGCCATCCCAGAACTGTATTTATAAGCAAAATATAACAGAGACTTCTTTTGTTCTTCGTGGAGACATAGTGTCGTTGAGTAACAGTATCTGCCTTGCATGTTTTTGTGCCAATGGACATATTATGACTTTTAGGTAAGACCTGTTTGATAGTAACTTAAATACAAAAAGAAATAGCCCTCTGCTACAAATAAAGGTTCCTTTTTCACAGGATGATGAATGTAAAAAAAAAATTACATTCACTCAGTGTTGATGATTCTCTAATACTTGAGCCTGAATAATTTTGATTGTACATTCCTGTTAGTTATGTCTTTAACACGTGAAAAAATTTATCACTTTAGCTCAAGCGACACTGATTCAACACATAGTTACAAACAGGTGATATAGGTCCATGACTTCAGGTTTGTCTAAAAACTGAGTTTACTTCCTGATGGAGAAAACTGCCTTGAATCAGACCTTTAGCTTGCACCTGACCAGAACTCTGCCTATTTTTGTGCAGCTGTTTGCATCACACTCATGCCTCAATATTTTCTTGTGTAGCTTGCTTGTGCCTTAAAGGCTTAAACTCAGGCTATGAAGGCAAGATTAACAGCCAGTTGTATAGTAATAAGTCAAGGTAAGGGGTTTAAGTTATGAATTTAAACATGTGTTGTAGGAGTAGTAGTGTTTAAATATACTTACAGATCACCTGTGTAATTTTCATCTCCTTTATCTTAAATGTTTCTATGTGCTATTTTATTCTGAACCAGCAGTATATACCAGGTTTATATACTTACACCCTTGCACCTGCAGTTTAGCTGTGGCCTGATGAATGTGGAACGTGTGGCCCTATGGAATTTTGCCAGTACAGTTCCTAAAAGATTATTTTAAGGTTGCCAAAAGATGCTTTCAGCTTGGAAAATTCTGTAAAAAATATTTCTTTAGGAAGTTGTTAGGAGTAAAACTAAAACTGATACAATTGAAACTTGTTTTTTAATTGTAGTATGTAAGTCTGTAACTCCAATGGTGTATATCTCCTCTGTTATGTATTCTAAACACCTCTAAAAAATGCTGCTCACCTTACAGGGCAATTTTTTTTTTCCAAATTAAAACTAAACGTAGTAATGTTCAGATACCATATATTGAAACAAATCCTGTCTTCTTCAGGATTCACATTGTTCTCTAATGAACTCTGCATATGTGGTAAATTATAAATGCTGATTTGTTACCTTGTGTGGGGATGTTGGATTCCAATGCTGAGCTCCCTTTCGTAAGCATGAATTGCTGCTGGGGATGGACCTTATGTGCAGTTCATGTGAAGTTGTCAGAGCATTGTATCATAACCAACATGCCCAATACTTAACTACTGATATAAATTCAGATAGGACTTAGTAACAAACAAATCTGTAACAGAAATTATGAAGATACTCTCATGGATATCATGCTTGTCTTATCTGATCTAATGTTTTTGTGTTTTGAAGTTGTAAGAATGTTTTGTGCTCCCATTGTTCTGAAGCAAAACACTTCCCTGTTTCTGACTCTTAAGAATATTCTTATTTTACATACATGCATGGCAGAGGTGTCATATCTGGGTGATATGCTTACAAGAGAATATGGCTTTTTATTTCTCACTTTTGCAACTTGCCTCCAAATGCAATGTCAGCATCGTGCAAAAAAAGAAAAAGAAAAAAACAAAACAAGGCAGCCTGATACTGTTGTGGTTACTACATCTTTTTTTTTGTTTTAACTTCAGTTTTCCCCATTGGCTGCTTTTTTAGTGTCTAGAATTAATAACCTTGTGTGGATGGTGTCTGCAGCAGAAGCTGTTTATTTTATTATTGGGACAGCTAACAACTTTTGTAATTTTGTTTAGAAGAACTTCGCAGGGGATGTTTGAGACAGTGGTTTATTATGGTTTCTACTTGTCAAGAAGTTAGATGTTTTGTCCCTTGCATTTATTATCTTGTTGAGGAAGGGGAATGTTTGGAAGGGGAATATTTTTCTAGCCCAAATGTGTAGTCTGTTCTTCAGTAGATTGATACAGTAAGTTCTGCAGTTACATGTACAGAATCAGAAAATACAAGGTAAGCAAACTTTGCTCTAAGGGGACTTTGTCTTCAACATCTAGTCAGAGAAAAAAAGGGGGACTTAATTCATAAGCTTGGTTGAGGCTACTGTACTCACTTTTTCTTTGACAGCACACTTGTGTTACCTTTCTAAATTTTCTTGAGGAGAGATCTTTTAGACTTGTATTTTTAGTCAATGAGAAATTATTAATTTGAGAGGAGAGACAGGATGTTTAGTTGTAAACTCTTGGTAGATACTTACCAAAATAGCTTGGTAATTATTAAGTAATACCTAATTCATTAAATACTGAATTTATTATATACATGCTCAGATTATAATTTTAAAAAATGCTTTTCAGTGCATCTGTGATGAAGATGTTTAAATTTCACTTTTGAGGTGCTACCTTAAATCTGATGTTTTGAGATTCTATAATGTCATTAAATGATACCTGTTTATTTGGTGTCATGCAAATGGTGAAGACAAAAAATTATGTATTGCAGTTTAAAATCAGCCATTTGATCAATAAGAGACATTTCTGCTATATTTAATGGGGGTTTAATTCTTTTCCTTAAGTTTGCCGAGTTTAAGGCCATTGTTGGATGTATATTACCTGCCACTCACCAATATGCGGATAGCCAGAACTTTCTGCTTCACTGATAATGGACAAGCACTCTATCTTGTCTCACCAACTGAAATACAGAGGCTCACCTACAGCCAAGAAACATGTGAAAATCTTCAGGTAATGAACTCTTTTTGAAAAATCACTTTTTTCTTAGATACATTCTGAGCTGAGCATTTAGGCTTTTGTGCTTTGATTTTTGTTTTTCCCTTTTGTTTTCCTTCATTGTAGACTAATTCTGAATGAATCATTTCTACCTTAAATTTTTCTTCCATCCGTCCTATTGTAGCTGAATCAGTTTCTTGCTTAATTCCATTTCGATCAACAGGAAATTTCCTCCTTTAACATGCAGTTAAAATTCCCTTGATCAGTTCACACTGGGGAAGGTGCCTGCTGACACAAAGTGGGGAATGCCAACTCAGGATATTTGAAGGAAGCTATTATGTTTCAAGGGTATTAACAGCTTGAAAAATTCTCAGTCATGCTTCAGGTTGGTTAGTTGTATAGAATAATACAATAGCAGAGTTGCAGGTTCTACTTTCATGCTGCTACGTGGATATAAGTGTTTGTAGATGCAGTTTCAATAGAACCAAGTCAGAAGTCTTGCCCAAGTTGTAGAGGGGCAAATAAGCTTTACTTGAATGCATTTCTTTGCTTCTGAATTCCATGAGCTCTAAGCTTGCAACTGTCAAAAGCAGGTGGTTTGGACAAATTTCTTAATATATTTTTCTTTTTCTATTTCCTACATCACCTTGCAAAGACAGATACCCATTAAAGCATGTTTCTTTTGAAATTCACATCCATTAAACAAATCCTGAAAGTGAAAGAATATTCCATTATTTTTAATAATTTATGCCTTGTTATGTCACTTTTTCATTGCAAAGGAAATGTTGGGTGAGCTCTTCACTCTTGTAGAAACACCAGAAGCACCAAACAGGGGGTTCTTCAAAGGCCTGTTCGGAGGTGGGGCACAGTCACTTGACAGAGAAGAACTCTGTAAGTTATTATTAATTGTTACTTTTCTGGTATTTCTTCCCAAGAAAGGTAGTGGTCCTTGGTAAATATATTACCTGTGTTCACAAAACATTACCTTTATTAAGAGGGGAGTAAAAGAGGGAGTGACAAATATTTTTTCATAGATTTTGTGTTGTACACCTTATCAACAAGATCAGAAAAGCTTGGTATGTTTTTTTCACAGGTTCTTTTTGCTCATTTATTCAGCAGTAGATGAGTTTTGTTTTATAACATTTTGCTTTTGTTTTAAAACCATTTCTTGTTGTATAACCTTATTTTTATTCATCTTTATGAAGTGTGTAGTACTGACCATGATTCTATTTATGCTGGTAAACTGAATGGCACTGCTTTTGGAGAATTCTCTTCTGCACAGTGAGAAAATAAAAATTTCACTCTACTTCAGTTATTTGCCAGATTTTCCTTGTTTTGCTTTTGCAGATATGCCTTAGAAATGACAGCAAGGGCAGAACTGTATGATATTTTAATTCAGTCCTCTGTTTATGGGACATTAAAATGCAAATTTGGCAAAATTTTCATTGCTTTATAATTTTCTCCTTTTTTATTATATTTTTTTTTTACTGTGGTGGCATTAAGCACTTCAATATATTTAAGGAAAATAGCTTCCATTTATTTATTTAGATATTTGCTAGATGCAGCTCCATATTATGCAAGCTTCTTTTTAAAAACCTTTTTGTTATTACTGTGAAATGTATCTGTCAAAATGGACAAGGTGTCCTGCCAATCCTTTCTTTTATGGTGGTTCTTTTGATGTCTACAGAATAAAAATTAGACTTCATTACTTGTGCCTGTACATTTTGAGCAACTATCAGATATTTAGAGGTCACTTTTTGTGTCAAAGGTTTCTTTTTTGGGTGTTTCTATATATATATATATATATATATTTATATATATATATATGTATGTAATACTATGGAAGGTTGGTCAAGTATTCCAGTAGAGAAATTTATGTGCACAAATTATAATTTAATATGACTGAGACAGGGGAAAAACACTGTGTAACTTTAGAAGCTATCTCTTTATATAGTGTCAAGTTTCCACCATTAAGTTTTGGCTTGGATCTTTAGAAGGAAAATAGTATTGAATGGAAGAGAAAAATCCTAATGAATAAAAAAAGCCTGACAGAGACTTCAGTGACAATTCAAAAGACATTTGAGAATATCTTTAAAGTAGCCATATTTACCATGAGGGTCACAGCAGAATCTGTAATAAGTGAAATTATTTCTCTTATTTTGCAAATTCACAGAAAGATGTTTATGGTACTAATTTAAATGTAAATTATTCCTAATAGAAGCATAAAATCAACTCAGAGAGTCTTGAAATACTGCATCAAAATGTATTTAACCAGTTAATATTATTGTTCCTAGAAGTAAAAAAAAAGGAAAATATTCAAACAATATTTCACTGTTTAAAACAAATACTCAGATTTCAGTGGTCTATACAATTCTGCCTGAGATTGGCACATCAAGTGTCTAGATTGAACTGGGTGACTGATGTGCCATTACGAGCAAAGTCAATGTAGTCAGTGCCATCACTGGAGTCTGGAGCTGTTCAGCTGACCATTTGTGCTGATTTGTTCTTACAGCCATACTGTCTTTTTACATTCCCCTTTTTTTTTTTTTTTTTTTTTTTTTTTTTTTTTTTTTTTTTTTTTTTTTTTTTTTTTTCTTTTTTGCAAGGTTTTTACAATAATGGCAGCATTGACACCTAATCTTCAGGTGTCTGCATGTAAAATTGAATGTCCATCAAAAAAAACTTCTGCTGGTGGAATCATACTGGCTGGCTAACATACCAGCAAAGCACTTCCAGAACTAACCACAACTTTTCAATATTTCAATACCCTGCTTTGTCTGTTGAACTCAAAACCATTCCTCATGAAATAAGCTATATTGTGCTGGTGAAGTGTTTTTTTCACAATTCTGTTGATGAACATCAGAATTTTAATTTCACACTTGATCTGTGAAGAGCTTACAGTTTTATAACCTACCTGGAGACTTGAAAATATGTTTGAATGCCTCGGTTCTAATGCAAAAACATTTACTAACATAGAATAGTGAGTGTTGCTCATAGTCATACCTACAATAAGCTGTTTGGTCTCCATGCAAAGAAATTACATCTCTATATAAACTAGTTGCAATGATATTTATGTCACAATGACAGGAAAACTTACTATTCTGTATTTTCTGCTTTTGCAAATGCCTCCAGTTGGGGAATCAGCATCTGGGAAGGCATCAAGGAGTCTTGCCCAGCATATTCCAGGACCTGGAGGTATTGAAGGTGTCAAAGGAGCAGCATCTGGTGTAGTTGGTGAACTGGCACGAGCCCGGTTGGCACTGGATGAAAGAGGACAGAAACTGGGAGAACTGGAAGAAAAAACTGCAGCTATGCTTTACAGTGCTGATTCTTTCTCAAAACACGCTCACGAGGTGAGTATGTTAAACTGAACATTAAACTGATTGTCAGATAAATGCAAATTCTGCAAGTGACTGAGCTTGTCAAAGGCATGTTAGAGGTATCCAAAGGGCATGCAGTGTCATTGATAAAGGATCCATCACTTGGAACTCCTAACAATTACGTACTCATTGTAAACATCCTTGTCTTGTGGCGCATTGCTCTAGAGCATGCAGTCTGCTGGAGTGGCATGGAAGCTTCTAAATGTGCAACTTAATCCCCATTACTGAAAAAAATTACTTATTGTCACTGAATTAATAAGAAGAGTAAAGTTTTATGTCAGATTCCTGCTGTCCTTCAGAAAGATCCTGTTTTATGCAAACCCTCTGAGTGCAACTTCATTTTTTTTTCCTCAGTGACTACCATAGAATGGCTGTTCTCATCCATTTTCATGCCAACTTCTTTCCACACCCCAAATTCCTGTGCAATCTCCCCATTCTCCCAAAAATGTCTTTTTCTGCAGCTAGATCACCAGCAATGACGCTACCATTAGAAAATTCATCATGCTAAACACTGAGTGTTCAGCGATGTGTTTGCAACTTTGAGAAGTCTTGCTAAAATCCTTCTTTCTCATGCTGCTTTGTAAAGCGTAGTATTTGTTGGTGTCATTGTACATTTTGGTACATTACAGAAACAGTAATTAGAAAAATTTTTTTTGTTTTTTTTTAGATGATGTTGAAGTACAAAGACAAGAAGTGGTACCAATTCTGATGACTCTCATTAATCACATCTTTAATTTTGTCCTGATGAAAAAATCTTGTTTTTTTCATTAATTTTGGCAGGACCACTGAAATTTCAAGGAGTATTCACCATCGGATACTGTTGTTTCCTAGCACAAATGACACACTGTTTTACCTCAGTCCTGGCTTTAACTGAGGAGCTTTATATCTAAGAAACACACACAAAAAAAGAAACTTGAGTGTTTCTTAGCTGTTGGTTAGCATAAAGTCGGAACAGAGAAGGTAGCTGGAACATGTGGAAAAGAGAGTAAAGGGAAATCGTGGTGAGATGGGCAGGGGCAATGCAGGGTCAATCCTGTGTTAATATTTCATATGCCAAAAGTTTTTGTGCTATTGTAATTGCTGCCAGTGTTATACCCTCCTGTAAGGAGAGGCAATAAATCAGGGGTCCAAGAGCTGGAATCAAGCTGTTTGTCTTGCTGGACAGTAGATGACTTACAATTACCCTCTCTAGGACTCTATATTTACCATTATTGTTGAAGAAGAGCTGAAGTTTCCTGTCACTTCATTCATTTTAAAAGCTGGAAGCTTGAAAGATTTCTTATTGAGAATTGTATACATAGTTGACCTGTGCATAGTCTTTTCTTGGACCCCTGATCTAGTATTCTTGTATTCACATCATATTGTGTGACGTGCAAAACAAAAGAATACGTAATTTTTGCATTAAAAAGTCAAGTGAATAATATGACTGGAATGTGTCATGCTGGGAGTTTTCGTTTGTGTTATGGCCGTGCAATGTGAAATGTGGTAACATCTTCCTTGTGGTAAGAATTCTTCAACTTCTGTTCAGTTAAATATTATTTTTGCCAAAAATAGTTATTGGTTCAGGTTGTGTAACATTTATAATTGGCTGTGGGTTCCATTCATGCTGTGAGTTTTTATAAATGTTTAACAGAATGTATCTTTACAGCCATTGATTGAAATAGCTGGGATAGTTTTGCTCAAGACTCAAGTTCTAGATGCCCCTTTAGTTCTTTACTATGAAATCAGATAACCTTGACTCAGGTTTTCAAACTTTTACACACCATGGAGGTGCTGATGCATGAATAATGGCAAGCAAGCATCTAATACTTAATAATTGTCAGTATGTTATTTAGCAAATCTCTAAGTTCTGCCAGTAGTGCTATTTTACAAGTACCTGTCTCAGCCCCATGCAGCACTAAAGGCACTCGTCCTAAAGTTTGGACTTAATCTCTAAAGCAGTGTTTTCATTGTAAGCAGTGGTAAAGTGTGCATAAAAACTTTAGGAATTGCTGAACTAATGTTCTGTTTGGGAGAGGTAAATAATACAGCTAACTTGTTAATGGCTACTGCACTAAAGCTATAGCAGTGTGAATGACCAGGGCTCTTTTTAAAAGAGAGGATTCCTTAAAATAAATGCTTGCATTTCAAAAATTACTTTAGATTTTTTTATCAAAGTAGGAATAGTTATTGGCTGGTCTTGTTTTATAAAAGGGAGTACTTAGAAGCTGATAGGTCTGCATTGTCTGAAATTAATCACTTAGGTTTGCTACTCCAAGCGCTGCATTTTGTGTACTTTTTTTCCACAACATTTCTGAATGTTCCCAAAGCAAAACCTTGGTTATGTTTGTATTGTGAAGTGATGTTGCAGGTACACAGATAAGGCAACCTTACAAAACATCTCAAGCATGTAAAATATTGAAGTTACTTATGGTTCTTAAATCACTTTTCAAATTACAGGCAAATATGTTTGGGCTTTGAAACACAAACTGATAAATTTTCTCACTTTAGGTAGAGCAACATTTTAAAAAGACAGTTGAATTGTGTTGCCAGTAAAAAGGCATGCCCTACTATGTCCACTGCTCAAAGGACTTAAAAAATGAGAATGTGACAATTCAAAGCAGTATTATGATTTCTTGATAGTTCTGTCCCATAGCTACTGAGGCAATGTTTACTTGAGTTACTTAACTCAGTTTGCCATGCAATATTTGCCTCTGCATGTTAATTTATTTTTTACTGTCTAATTGATGCCTATTTAACACCATTTTGTGAGACATCCAGGTAGAAGAAAATGAAATAAACCACTACCCATACCACATCCAAAAAAACCCACCCTAGCTGACACTTGTCCTCTTCTTTGTCTCACATTTATAAATTGAGTTGACTCATTATTATTTGACCTGCTGAAGGTAAAGTACATTTCATGGCAACAGAATCCTGGGAAATTAATCTGGTCAGGCTCTGGGGGAGAGGATTACAAAAGTATTCTTCAACAAATTATGGTATCATTCAATGGAAGATGACCTTGGCTTGAAAGGAAAACATACTTAACTTTCTCATCAAGATCCATTTGACAACCACCAGCAAGCAAAATAATAAGAGGCAATGAGAGAGCATCTGGCAGTACCAGAAGAGTAGTGGCTTATTTGGTATTACAGAATCTATTGTAGTTGAATCTCTTCTGTTGCTTATGTTCAGGGATAGGAAGACTAATGACGTGGTTGCTCATGAGATAATGACACAAATGGTTCTTGGTCAATAAAAGGGGCTATGTAAAATTTTAGTGTAAAATGTTACTTTTTCCTTCCTAGTGGAAGGAAAGCAATCACACACACATCACTGCATCTTATTGTGCTGTTGGTGGTGCACCTTTTGTACAGCAAAGTGTATTGAAATCCTTGCAGGGAAGCACCTCTGTTTTTTTCAATAGCATTTTAGTTGTGTGACATTTTTTAGAGTGTCTGGAAAACTATAAAATACAATTGAGCTATTACTTTTTTTTTTTAATGAAAGTAAGAAACTACCTGTTGCTACCTATCTGTTTATATGTAGTGTGTCTCATTGGGAACTGTAAACTGAAGAAGCTTTTCTTCACCTTAGTCCTGCCAAATTGTAACTTTTGAATCCTGGTATGTGTAAACATGTGTGTATTCCAAATCAGTCTGAAAGTGTTACACCACAGGCATCTCCAGTGATTTGTTCTTCAGCAAACAGTCAGTTATAAAGTAGAGTAATATATAGCTGTGTTCTTTGTCTGTCTTTATGCAAAGTTTTTCTGCCTGAGGTGGTACTTGCATGGCAGGTGATTGGAAAGCTACGTCCAAAGGAGGATTTTTGGAAGCAAGTTCATTTTCTTTTTTTTTCCTTTTAGTTTTCCTTTTATTTTCCTTTCTATGTTTTGGTTTTGGTTTTTTTAGTTTGGTTTGGTTTTGGTAGTGTTTTTGTTTGGGTTTGGGGTTTTTTTTTGTTTTTTTGAGGGGTGGGAATTTTTGTTTGGTTGGTTTTGTTTCTTTTTTTTTTTTTTCTTTTTTGCTTAATTAATGGCACTGATCTTACCTGAACTTTTAAACTTGAATTTTTCCTGCACTTTAATTCAATCATGGTATTTTATTCCTTAATTTTGTTTCTGCATTTGTGCAGTTCAGGTTCATTATTTGTATATAAACACACATGTTCAATAAAGACTTCAGAACAGATTACTTTCAGGCACCTTTGCTAATTATGTGATTTATTTAGAATGTGTGTTTTCTTAGCAAAATATGTATATACAATATAGAATCTAATGAAAGGCACGTATTCTGTGTCAGCATTCAGTTTATAAATTACTGCAACACTTTCACATTTGTTACTAGATAATACAAAAGAAATCTGTTATATTTATACATACTGCTTAAGAATATACTTTTAGTTTTAAATAATTTTTATATGTACACTTCTACCTTTAATTTTAAAAAGACTTACGTTCAAGTTTTAAGTCAAAGTACTTAAAGTATGTATATTATCCATAGAAGTTGTTTTAAGCTTATGAATACATTCATATCTCATATCGAGATGATACAATTTCTAAGCAATTAAAACAAATAGCCCATTTTGCTTTGCAGAAAATAATCAGTTATTTTTACCTCCCATTATGAACATCCTTGAACAATTCTCCAAGTATGGAGCAAGAAGATAGGGAACTAGCCTAATATTCAAGTTTTCTTAATAGCTGCAGTCCATGGCTGACTGGTTTTCTATGGTTTGGGTTTTTTTCTGGTACACATGAGAGACTTTTTTCAGCTCTATTTCTTGGATTTTTAAAATTCTCCAAAACTGAAGTGAGGTATGTCCAATAAAGATTTTCTTTTGAGTAATCTGTGTATTTTGATTATACATCAGCTCTTTACATGTAAATCAGGGTTGGTTTTTATGTGGGTTTGTTTTGTTGTTTTTTTTTTTTTGTGTCTGAAACATGTGTTGGAAAACTTAAGAGTCTGTGGCTGAAATGCCCACTACTTTTTGCTCATAGTTTAACATGTCTGGGCAGGCACTGACTGCAGACAGTCTGGTGTGGGAGGGAGGGACTGCAGTGCCTTGCCTCCCTCTCCATGTGGAAGGGCAACTTGTCGCTTGAATCTTCTCTTGTGCCAGCCAATTTCCTGGGTAATTGATTTGAGTCTTTTTGGGTGGATGTTGATAGCTTTGCTACTACCACAAAATCTTCAAATACTCTGTAGACAGAAATTAATGATGCTTGAGGGGTGGAAGTGAACAGAATCAGGTGGGGAAAGGGTGTAATGTAGGTGAATCAGTTAAACCAATTTTACTTCAGTTTTCACTGAAAATCTGACCTGGGCCGATTTCTTCTTCTTAAGCCCATTATAAAGATGTGCTATATATCTGCCTTATTACTGTTTCAAATCTGATGAGTGTTTCTGGGGTCTTTTCCACCTTATAAAGTTTAGACTTAAAGATGTAGGCATTAATTTTTTAAAAGTGGAAAAAAAGGAAGAAGATAAATGGGGCAGAAAGACCAAACAATCAAATGGAAGGTGTCAATCAGTATTTCTTTTTGTAGTTCCATGTGCACCTAGAAACATTTAAGCTAACCTACAGCTGTAGGTTACTTTGACACTTGTATTTTTCTGTTAGTACCTAAGTTCCATATCACCAGGCAAATAACCAGAAGTTAAACTGTTTCAGTTGTAAACATGTAAGAAGTTTTATGTGGATTACCACTACCATTCAGTCATAGGTGATGGAAAGGGAGAGGGGTGGGAACATGTTTTAAATATTCCCTTTTAAAACAGAATTGTAAATAAGCAGTACTGTGTTATTTTAGACCTGAGCTCTGCTATCTGTAGTGGTTAGAACTAGGAAAACATGCTGCTTTCTAGTTATGCTGCTGTTTCATTGTACCAGCACCATGGGGGAAAAAAAATACATCCGTAAATTTTTCTAACATTGCCCACTCCTGGGTAAGCATGCTTGATGTGTAGCAGTTCTCGTTTCTGTATA